AAATATTTAAACAACAACAAAACCCCGAAATCTCTCTAAATATCAATAAAAATATTTTAAAAACTAAGATTACTTGAACTTTAAAATAAATATATTTTATCCAACTATGCATATGCATACTTATACATTTATATATGTACAGACATGTATGGAATATAGAAATCTGTATATATAGTTCTTCCTGAGGTTTGTTTTGAAAAATAGTTCTGCTAAAAATACCCATGGAAACTTCTGGCCTGGGATTCCAAGGTCATCCTCAGTTCTGCATCTCAAGTTCACATAGCCTCACCAAAATAGCCCCTCTGGCAACTTTTTTCTCTGTGCATTTGGAAGAGTTCATCATGCCTCCAAAGCTCGAAGAGGGAAGAGATGAGCCAGCTGGTGGTTTGCAGGGTGGTTGGTGCTCATCCCTTCAATCGAAGCCTCGCCCGGCTTTTTGAGGATGCAGGATTATGCCCACCCTTCTCCATGATTCCTTTTGATGACAGCATCACGTGGAGGGAGTCATTTATTTGCAAATGAGGTGGAGTAAGCCAGCCCATTTTCTCCTTGCTCTGCCCAGTGTCTTGTGCTGTGGGGAGCTTGCCATGCTGCCTGCTAGCCTTCCTGTCCCCTGCCTTTTGGATCCTAGGGTGGAAATGGATGCCAGGTGCTCAGGCCACCACACAATGTCACAATTGCCTTCTGGGAAGTTTCTGATAATGGCGTTTATGACCTGGCTTCTGGGTTCAGTGGGAGAGCCCGTTCAGTCTACTATGTTCCTGATCAATGATTTAACGCCCAGGGGCCAGTTTTATAGGGAGCTGTCGGATAATTTCACAAGGGAGATAAATGAGAGCTAGAAAGAATGACGGCCTTTCAGAATTGAAGTCTGTGCATGTTCCAAATCCCGTAAAATGCTACTTGATTTTAAAAATTGCTTGAAGCGGTTCACATTTTTGTTAATTACGTCAGTGGGTAAAAATAACTATTGTCATATGGTGTGTGGGCTTGGTTTTAGAAGGATAAAGAGTCTATTGTTACCCATTGTGTTATGCAGTCACTTATTACCCATCTCTAAAAATTGATCATGTAGAATAGAAAGCCCAAGTTTGCCACTAGCTGAAATCCAGGCTCCTCTGTGAATTTAGCCTCAAATTGCTCCTTTTTAATTTGGTCTATTTAAGTGGGTTGATCGAACCCGTTCCCAAGGCCCATGCCAGGTGAGGGTTTGTGACAGGTGACCCTGAAATCGCCTTTGGGTCCCATGGCTTCAGCTGAGGTTTGTCCAGGGACGAGCCAGGCTATTGCTTAAGGCCACGGCTTCAGAGTCGGGGAGACCTGGGCTGTTACCTCATTAGTTGTAAGATGACGGGTCAGGAGCTTAACTTTTCTGGGGCTTAGTTTCTTCTGCAAAATGAGGATAAACACAGTTCCTGTTTCCTGGGATTGTTGGAAGACTTAGATGATTGGTTGGCCAATAGTTAAGGCTTAATTAATATAACAGGTAGAACCAAATAGCATTAAATTTCCACATGGAGTTGCTCTTCAGGTGGAGTTTTCTACCATTCTTCTATATATCACCTTCAAGACACCTGTCCCCCAAGCTCCCCAAGTCATACTTGTACCCCCCGTTTTCAGCTGGTGGATCATGACTATCCACATTGCATGCTCATGCTCTTTGGCACCTACCCCAGGGCCTGGTGCAGTGCAGGCTCCAGGAAAAGGCATGGATGGCAAGGGGCTCAGAGCCTGGAGAGCTCCTAGGGGCTGGAGTGGTCACAGAAGGTCATCAAATGAGTTTAGGGTGACAGATGGTCATCAAATGAGTTAAGGGTGACAGCGTTGGAGGTTTGATGAGGGAGGAAGAGGTCTGCTAGGCTGGGAATGTAGGAACCTTGTCTTGCTTGAACCTTGTGGGATCTGTATTGCATGTACTAGTATCTTTGACCAATTTAGAATTGATGAAACAGATGGCTTGGTGAGACCCTCAAGCCCCACAGCTCACAAGTATTAGGGCAAGTTGAACCTGAAGCTCTTGATCACTGTGTTGGGCTGTACCTACCAGAGTCATGGTTCCTCAGCAGTGATGTACATGAGCTCTGTGCCTTGGATCTTGCCTGTGGCCCTGCAGACCCCCACCTACCCATCTCCACCCTGCTCTGCCTAAGCGGGGGAGCCTGATTTTTTCTACACCTTAGTTCCTGCCTCCTGGGATTGTTGGGTGCTGGGTGCCCTTGGCCTCCAGCTTCTTGGCCAAATGCCCAGAAGGAGGACCCAGCTGGAGATGTGGGAGAGGAAGTCCTTTACCATTGCTGCTGCCTCAGGATTTTTATTTTTAAATTTTATTGATTTTAGAGAGAGAGAGAGGAAGAGGGAAAGTGAAGTGAGAGAGAGAGAGAGAGAGATATCAAAATTGTTGTTCCACTTATTTATGCACTCATTGGTTGATCCATGTATGTGCCCTGACTGGGATTGAACCTGCAACCTTGGCGTATCAGGACAGTGCTCTAAGTAACTGAACTACTTAGCCAGGGCTATCTCGGGATTCTTGCCGTCTCTTATTGGTTTCCCTTACCCCCACCCACTCCCTTGTATGCAGACACTTTTGAACTTTCCACACTTACCCTGGCTGAGTGTGTCTGTCACCTGTCCCTGCCAGGATCCTGATGAATACTGGCATATTTTAGAAAGCCTGATCTAGCCCTTTATTTATTCTTCACTGTGCATTGAAGGGAGAGACTAGGAGAGTGGCAGCCAGGTATGTGGATGAAGGAATAGGGCCTGGTTCTCACCTTTGCTTGTCACAAATGGAGGTTTTGGCCTTCTAGATTCCAAGTGAGGGATTATAGATGGAGTCACTGCAATGCTCTGCCAGGACTGGAACAGAAATGTAGTGCGTCAGATATAACCCTGCTCTGTGTGTCCTGAGAGCATCAAAAATAATTATGGAAATGGTCTGAGTTCTTATCAGCCCTAGGGTGAGTCTGATTCTTTTTATTTAGGGCTGCAGGTTATGAGGAGTTGGTTTAAGGTAGCCATACTATGGAAGTGGGAAGTCAAGGTGTGTTGGGTAGGAAAGCATTTTTAGGACATGGCCACTGAGTGCACCCAGGAAGGATGGAGAAGGGAGGAGTCAGAGGTTATTCTGATGTTTATAGATGGGAGACAGGTTTAATGGTGCAGTCATACAGAGAGGGACTCAAAGGGAGGGAAAGAGATTATATATGGGTCCATTTGGGTGTATTTGTAGGAGAACGTTTATATGTACAGAAGTTGGGGGTAGAATTTAGAAGTTTTGGGTAAATGCAGCTAGTGAGCTCCCTGTGAGTAGGTGTTGCGTAGGAAGAATCCAGTGTTCAGAGTGGACCACTGATGTGATGGCTACGGCTTTGGCCGAATTGGGATGGCATCAAAGGCAGTGTTAATAGTTTTGTTTTCTCTGGGGTCCGATTTGGGGAACTACTGGTGGTTCCCGAAGATGAGGAGAGAGAGCTCTGGCTCATCAGCATAACTAAAGGAGGTTGTGAAAAAGAACATATCTATCTAGGGGAGAGGGCAGCTATGGACAGGTTGGAAGACTCAACACCAAGGGTCAGCTCCTCAGAAAGGAGGAGGGAGAGGACTCTACTGTGTAGTGTTGGGCATTTTGGGGTACAGTTAGTGCCCAGCCATCTGGTTGACCAGTGGGTTACTACTGTACTTGGGGTGTGTAAATAACCAAAATCCTTGGCAGAACTGAGAAACAGTCTCATACTCTTTTCTCATATGTTGGTATGTCTTCCTGCTAAGTCAGAGAGCTTTATCTCTCTCCCTCATCTCAGGGTTTGCTCCTTTTACCCAGCTATGGGGGACTGCAGAAGCCTTGGGTCATCTGCAGATGACCTTGGGTGACTTTGTAGAGGAGTGGTAAGAAGGGAGGTGAACTATGAGTACTCTATCTAGGTCAGGTCAGCATCTTAGGAGAGAAGGCATTGGAGAAGGTTGGCTAGAGTGGTTGGGGTCAAGACAGAGGACCTGGGTTCTGGTTTTGGTGCTTCTTCACCAGCTGTGTGTCCTTGGGTAAGCCACCTGCTGTCTCTGGGCCCCAATGCCCACCTCTGTAACTGAGTTGTTGACCAATTATTGAAATATTTTGGACATTATGAGTTTCAGATTGCTCACTGGTTTTGTTACTAGGATCTGAGCATGGGTGTTGTCATTGGTAAAATGGGGGGTGAAAATACCTTGTAGAGTTGCTGTGAAGTTTGAAAGGTGATGATGATAGCAATAGCAGCTGCATAGGTGGTTTAATTTCATCCTCACTGCAACAAGGCAGCTGTGATTATCATCTCTGCTTACAGATGTAGATACCGAGGAACAGAGAGGTCAAGCTACTTGGCCCAAGTCACATAGCCAGGAAATGGTGGCACTGAATGATTTCCTCCAGGTGGTCTGGTTCCAGAGCCCATGCTCCTAATCATGATTCCATGACCGTGTGCTCAGACACTGGATGTAGAGGAAGCCTTGCTCAGTGCCTGGCACACAGTAGGTACTTAGTAACCTAAAGTTCCTTCCTTTTTATGTTCAGAATGCATTTGGAAGTGGAGGTTCCCATAGTGCTTTTTGTCAGGCCTTGGCCTTGCCCTGGAATCTTGGGGCTAATCTTTTCCCATCTCTGGACCTTTGGGTTTGCCTCCTGTCTAAAATGAGAGGCTCATTCTTTTCTTCAGTGGCATTGATTGAGTCCCTGCTGTATGCACCAGTGTAGGCACAGGGCACAGATACGGCTTCTATTCTCATGCAGCGTGTACTTTGGTTGGAGGAGACAGAGTAATTGAGGTAAACGCCGAGGAGAAAACACAGTAGTGATGTGATGGAGAGTGAGGGCCACTCACTTCCATTGGCTGGTTGGAGAAGGACTCACCGAAGAGGTGACATTTAGGCCGTGGCATGGGAAGGTCTGGGCAGAGTGTTTTGGAGAAGCCAATAAATCTGTAAGGCTCTAGAGGGGAAACCAGGTTCAACAACACTGCGAGGGCATGAGGGGGTGAGGAGATCAGAGAGGCCTTAGGCTGTGGCTCAGAGTTTGAATTTTATTCTTAGTGTGATGGGAAGTCGGGGGACATTTTTTCCACCAGGGTCCCTTTTGATTATTTTCCTGTTCATGATGACCATGCTTTGAAAAATCCTGTTAACCACAAAAGCCGTGTTTATTAAACCACAGAACACACAACTTAGGCTTTTAAAGTGTGGGGAAGTAATTTATGGATCGCGATGAATATTTTTGAGGACCCCCTGAGACCTAAAGATGATAGATGGAGACACTGTCAACTAAACAATCTTAAAGTCCCTGTTTTAAACCTTCATTCTTCCCAAAGCTGCGTGCCATAGGATTAAAAAAGATTACTGCCACCTATTGGTAGAAAACAGAAGATGAATTTTTGCCCAATGAAAATCCCAAGCCCAGTGTATTTCTTCGGTCCCACATTTGGCTTTCCACCCTGCAGTGGAGCCCTGGAAATGGCTCTGGGGAAGGGGGGGCATGGTGCTGCCTTCCTCTCTTTCTGGCAGAGAATCTGGACTTTCTTCCTGGGTCCTTCTAACTCAGTTCATGATGGAGTGTCAGGAGGGAGTGTTGGATGTATCTGTGAGGACAAACACTGGCAAGCCAACAGCCGGTCAGCCTCTGTCTATTCAACCAGGTGAAGCCATTGTTTGTCCTTGACCCACCGGTACACTGAGTTCCTGAATTCAGTGTCCCCACACCCTAACCTAGGCGAACGGACTTGTTAGCACCCCACCCCATTATTAAATTCTCAGCTGCTTTATTTCTCATTTGCATTTTCCGAGGCTGAGTGAATCTGCTGACTTCCGTTTTCTTTTTCTGTTTCAGATTTTGTGCACAGATGCCTGTAGTAGTAAGTACCACTTCCCTCTCCACTCTCATGTTGTTTGTTACTGCCCCCTGATGGACACAGCAGCATTAATAGCAAAGTGAAAGTCACAGAAAATGTTAATTTGTGAAAATTCAGTCTTCAGTTGTTCTTTAAATGTGTTATGGGGATTGAAACGGCTAGTGAAGGAAACAATTCAATCCATTGTGCAACATGGACAAGTAAAAAATTTATACTTTCTGTGATTTTTTTTTCCAACCTACATCCATGGGTGATTAAAAAACCCCACACAACTTAGTTGAAACCATGATACCACGATGCAGTATGATTTATTTTATGTGCTGTGATCCCATAAGTATTTTCTTGAGTTGTTACATTGCCCCATGATTTTTAAGTGGTGTACAGGGTTTGTATAACCTTTAGAGAACCAGACAGCCTTTTGTGTATTTTGCTTCCATGTGGAGGGCTTGGTCCCACCCACTAACTCTAGTGCTGGTCCATTGAAGTCCTCCCTAGTCTATACTAAAATGAGAAAAATAAGGATATAAGAATAAGTTTTTAAAAAAATATATTTTTATTGATTTCAGAGAGGAAGGGAGAGGGAGAGAGAGAGAGAGATAGAAACATGAATGATGAGAGAGGATCATTGATCAGCTGCTTCCTGGAGGCCCCCTACTGGGGATCAAGCCTACAACCCCGGCATGTGCCCTTGACTGGAATCGAACCTGGGACCTTTCAGTCCGCAGGCCGACGCTCTATCCACTGAGCCAAACCAGTTAGGGCGAGAATGAGTTTTTAATGAAGCTAACTATATTCAGTTGAAAGTACTGCCTATTTTGGGATTATGTACTTAATAATTTTTGTGGTTGTAAAACATTTCAATGAGAAAGAAAGATAATAGTACTTGGTAGTTTTTTAAAATGTAGGTATCTTTTGGGAAAAACTGGGTAGATTTTGTCTGCCCTCAAAATTAGGGGACTTTTTAGGTGATCACTTAGTAAGTTAAAATGTCTAATCACTGGGTTGTATGCCTGAAACTAACATAATATTGTATGTCAACTGTAATTAAAAAATAAAAAATTATTTAAAGGCAAAACCCCTCCACAAATGGCCCCCAAAAAGCAGGGGCACTTTTTTAAAAAAATTTTATTGGTAAAATCCTAAAATCTGTGAACCACAGAGATAAAATAATTAGACTGTTCTCAGAGTACCATGTAAAGGGGACAGATCGTGCTGAAACCTTCTAATAAAGAAATCTCAGTTAATAATAGTAATTATACAAAGGCTGTGCAAACAATGGGAAGAATCCTGCAGTTGCTTTTTCTGCCTTGTTAATCAGCTTGGTCAAGAAGCTTGTACCTCTAGCAGATTTGAATCACTGGCGTGAAAGAAGAAAACCTCTATGCACAGAGGTGATATTTTGGAGCAGAAGGAAAGATGAGGGAACGATGATACATTTAAAAATATATAATAAAAAAAACACCCTGTTGTATAGCGAGTATATGGTAGATGTGCCATTTTATTAGTTTGCATTTTGCTCTTCTCTCCTGTGTGCTAGGTGTCCCCTGTGAGCTGGTCACAGTTAAATCTACCACCACTGAGATTCTTGTCAGTAGAAAACCAGAAAACCTTTCACTACTAACCGTGACCGATTCGAGCAACCAGAACCCGCAGCGTTTCCAAGAGAACGGAGGCGACGTTATTTCCGTTGCGGGGCTGGCTCCTGGTACGGACTATTATATCAGATACTCAAATGGCTCTAGTTTCTGCTGCCAAGTGTGGACACGTGAGTAAGACTCTCCCCTTGGGGTGGATTGCGGGGTTTAGAGACTGTAAATGTCTTCATACCTGCAGTGTAGGTGAGATCTCTTTATTTGAGCTTCAGCAGTCAAATGCAACCGTGTTGTATCTCTCTTCTCCCCATTCTTGGCCCTGATGCCTGGCTGGAGGGTATCCTGACTCCTCTGAGAGCGGCTCTAACCCTCTGTCTGCCTGGTCTTCGAGCAGTACTACCACCACGGCCCAGCACAGATGTAGACTCAGAGACCCAGGTTGGCTTCCTGGCTCTGTCAGTTTTGAACTCTGTGACTCTGGGCAATTCCTCTTAGACCTCATCTTTATTAAAAAAAAAAAAAGACCACACACACACCACATCAACAAACTATACACACACAATTTATTTATTTATTTATTTATTAAAAAATATTTTTTATTGATCTCAGAGAGGAAGAGAGAAGGAGAGAGAGATAGAAACTACAATGATGAGAGAGAATCACTGATCGGCTGCCTCCTGCACGCCCCAAACTGGGAACCGAGTCCACAACCCGGGCATGTGCCCCAACCGGGAATTGAACCGTGACCTCCTGGTTCATGGCTTGATGTTCAACCCCTGAGCCACGCCGGCTGGGTGCACACACACATTTTAAAAAACATATTTTAAAAAGTGCTTTATTTTCTAAACCATTGAAACGCAAGAACTTGCTTTCCTAAAAACTTCCCAGAATCCCTGCACGAATCAACAAAATTTAGTTCTCAACACATTTCTCCATCTTTAAAACGGATCCGTAGCCTTCCTCATGACGTGGCGAAGCATAAATGAGCAACTGTATGGATGGACAGCACCTGGCATGGTGCCAGGAACGTGGTCCCAAATAGGGCTGCTGCTTTTGCTGCCTCGACCACTGTGACCGTGGTTATCATTTTACCACCCCCCTCACCACCCTCAGCATTGACTGTAATGGGCTCCACAGTGATAAGCTGCCAAAAATGCTACCGTGAGCCTGCCCCTCAGGCAAGAGGAAGCTCAAGTCTGGAGGGGCTTTGAGGCATGAAGTGTACTGACTTGTGGGCCTTAGATGCTTCCCTGCCTGTGCCTTTTCGTTTCTCTTGATTCCTCTCCTGCCCCTTTTCATGGATTGAGTAATGGTTGCAACTCTGTGGGGCCAGGTGAGGCTCACTCTCCATGCTGACATTTGAAGGTCATGTGCATGCCGAGGTGGTGTTACCTGTATCATATTTTCTCTTCTGGGGTCAGTACCTAGGTCCTTGGGAAAAGGGGCCCCATGGCTGTGCTTCCTCCTCTGTTGCAAGTTGCTATTCCTCAGTCTTGAATATAATTCGGATGCATCCACTTTGAAGTTATAGTTAATGACTGTAAAAACTTTCATTGTTTTTAAAAAATCCTCACTTGAGGATTTAAATTACTTTCAGAGAGGAAGGGGGAGGAAGAGAGAGATAGAAACATCAATGAAGAGAGAGAATCATTGATCAGTTGCCTCCTGCACTCCCCTTACTGGGGATGGAGCTCTCAACCCTGGGCATGTGCCCTTGACTGGGAATCGAACCTTGACCTCCTGGTTCATAGGTTGACACTCAACCACTGAGCCAGGCCGGCTGGGCAGAACCCAGATTTTTTTTTTTAAAACATATTTTATTGATTTTTTACAGAGAGAAAGGGAGAGGGATAGAGAGTTAGAAACATCAATGAGAGAGAAACATTGATCAGCTGCTTCCTGCATGCCCCCCACTGGGGATGTGCCCTCAACCAAGGTACATGCCCTTGACTGGAATCGAACCTGGGACCCTTCAGTCCCCAGGCCAATGCTCTATCCACTGAGCCAAACCGGTCAGGGCTAGATATTTTATATGTCCATATCCAGTCACCACGTTTACCATGTCAAGGTGCCTTAATAATCCGCCCTTTGTGTTTAATGTAGTGTGTTAGAGCTGTCAACAGAGGAACCTGAGACCGAGAGATTGGAAAGGATTAATTCCAGGTCACACAGCTCAGGTGGGGGAGAGCAGGTCCATCTGTCCAGGTCTGGATTCTAAGACCAGTTCTTTCTTCTCATGTGATTCTGTCCCTTGTCATCTTTATACCAGAAGGATATGGAGCATCCTCTGATAACAGGGATTGGCAAAAAGTTACCGGATACTTCTGTACCAGATGATGCCTCACTACACGTGGCTGTTTTCTGTGAACGGGGAGATAGACTTACTTTGCATCTTAGGTCTCTGTTTGTACCAGCTTCTATACAGATTTAGCCCTCATTCAAGCCCCAGCCAAGAGGGCCAACCTCTGTCACTTTGTCTATGTTTTAAAGCCTTTTGTTTCACAAACATGCATGCATCCATGTATGTATATGATTGCAAAATTCACTTCTGGGAAGTAGTCTACAGATCAGGCCTGGCTCTCATATTTCTTTTGCAAATATAATTTTTTTCTTTCCTTTTTCTTTGGAAACAATATCGAAATAGAACCCAGTCCTGTGTTTGACATTGAAGCTATTTCCATCAGCCCCACCAGCGTGAATCTATCATGGAAAAACGACGACTCAGCTGCTTCTAATTATGAGTATGAAGTAAAGGATGATACGGGAAGCAGGACGAGGACTTCTGGTGCAAATCAAAGAAGCATTAATATCCCCAACCTAAGTCCAGCGACTTTATATACCTTCTCCATCACTCCGGAAATAAACGGAAGTAGGGGAAATGCCAGCTTCATAAATGTCACAACAAGTAAGATGACTAGCTCCCAGCAATGATCATGAACTATCATTCCTTCTTGCCCCGTGGGCTAGAGCCTTGTCCATTCAAGTTGCCTGTTGAAAAGAGATTGATTGTCATTGACTGTGGGAGAGGAGAAAGGATTGTGTATTGTTCAAAGCCCAGGAGTTCAGGTTGCCTGATCATTCAATATTAAGACCCCTTGTGTTTGGGATGTCTTAAGTAATTCCAACTGCTTGGTTGTAAAAATCTTTTGTTTTTATTGGTTAATACTTTTCTGCTGGGACTTGGGAGCAGAGACCCCGTTGGAAATGTGTTTTGATGTTTTCACTAATTACGAGGCTTCTTCTAAGCTCCCCAGGAAAATTGTTGTGTTTATAGTCTCAGGAATTTTTCTTGGGGAATGAAATTTTGGTAGATTTTATAGAGGAATGTGTGTTTCAAATGAAAGCGCCCAGTGACATTTGATTGAGCTTAGATTTGTACTTAGCTTAGATGTCAATATCCTGAGCCACCTGTTATAGCAGCAAATTTAGCTCTCTGTTTTTTTTTTTTTAAAGCTGAAAAGAACCAAAAATATAAAACAGAGGTGAGAAGGTCTTTTTAAGCTGAGAAGAAGCAAACATTTAAAAAAGAGGCCCATTGTTGGTTTTCCGGGGTGGGGGTGTGATCTCATTGGCTGGTGAAGCCAGGAGTCTGACCTCTTGGAGTCCAGGGCTTGAAGTGACCGCCTGGGCCAACACCTTCTGCACACGGAGCAGACAAACACTAAACCAGTGGTTTTCAACTTTTTTTTTTTTTTTTTAGCTAGGAAACAATTTCTTTAAGCAAAATCTTTCTCAGAAGCCCAGTAAGTAAAAAGAACCAGGGAGAGAGGAGCTAAGGGATGGAGTGTCTCAGGCCCCTTCAATAAACCTCTGGAGCTCCTCAGAGCACAGTTTTAGAGGAAAACCCCCTTCCTCCCTAAAATAAAGATTTCTATATTATTGTGAAAGAAAGGAAAAGAAGGTGCTAGAAGAGAGTGAAGGAGGAAAAAGAAGACAGATTTTAGAAATGGTGGTGGGGACAAAGGGACAGAGAATTGGCGAGGGTGGGGAAGAGAAGGAGGTGAGTTAGCAGGAAGCAGCCAGCTGGGAGCTGAGGACCCTTACTCCGCCTTACAGCCTGAGGACAAGGCTGCCTTCCTCAGCACCTACTATGTGCTTAGTTGTCCTTATTCCATGATTTTTGTCCTCCCGGTAACTCCAAGGGCTACAGTGGACGAAACTGTAAAGCTGAGAAGTTAGGTTTCTTATGAGAGCCCAGAGTTACAAGTGGTGGGAACCCAGGAGGCCTGATTCCTGACCCCCTGTGGCACAATGATGTGCGTAACAGGTACCCAATGTCATTCAGCTGGCTAGTTTGTTGGCGTTCCATTAAAAAAAGCAAAAGGCACACAAGTAGCCCAGTTTAGAAATCTTTGCATCAGAAACTTTTGATGTGAAGACTAGGACCACAGAGTGGACCAGCTGGACGGGGCGTGGTGTCTCAGGTTCGGCTTCCTGCAGACCTCAGGCAGGGTTTCTGCTCTGTCCACAACATACCTGTGCTTGGATGTGCTGAAGGCCGGAGCCCTGGGCTCTGGTTTTCCTGACGCTCCCAAGTGTGCGTTCCTGAGCAAGCCACCCGCCTCTCTGTATCTCCATGTTCTCATAAAGGCAGGGAGTGCATGTCATTTCGGCTGAAAGGGTTTGGTTTATGTCACTGTGAGCCAAATCAGGTGATGGAAAGAACGGTGAGGGGTTAGCACAGATTGAAAGTTTTCTGAAAAATCCCCTTGGTTTCAGAATGCAGCGATGCGTTCCTTCATAGAAATGTCTAGGTATTACGAAATGATATTATTTGTGTTGTCTCGACTCGAGACCTTTAGACATAGCAAACAACCACTTTCTTTGATGCTCTGTTCCTGATGTTTAAAAACAGATGTAGTTAAATGCTGCTGTTTACATCAGCGTCCTTAATGAAAGGTGATTCTTAATGAAAGGTGATTACGCATATCTTGTTCCATCAGTGCCCATCTTGTGTTTTTAAAATAGAGCCTCTTCCAGTGTCTGGCCTTCGTGTTACCTGCAAGGGTGTGACCGCAGTTGCACTGGCCTGGAAGAATAGAAATGGCACTGCCGCCTGCCGGATGCTCCTAGAAGCCACGGGAAGCCATGAGGAGGTGACTCAAAACTTAGCAGTCAACATTTCAGAACTGGAGCCAGGGTTTAAATATAAGGTCACCCTTATATTTAATGTTTCGGAATCAGACAGCACTGGAGAACATGGCTCAGGTGAGTTACAAGAGTGTGCCTCTCGTCTACTTGCAAGTTTTGCCTTTCAGTAACTTAATACTTTAAAAAATATGGTTCTATGTGTATAGAGTGTTAGAATCTGTAGAGGGCTCCTCCTGCAGGTTTTACTTTGACCCCACACCTGTTTGAGGAAGGAAGGAAAGTATTTTTATTTTGCAGGTCAGCACATGGGGGCTCAGAATGGCAGGGGGTGAAGCTTTTGGCATTCAGGAGAGCAGCTGGGCCACGTGGCTTTTCCAACTTTCCGCTGAACAAACAACAGACCTGTTACCCCACGTAGGCCATTCTTCTTCTTTTTCTTTAAAAATTTTTAAACATATTTTTAATTGATTTCAGAGAAGACGGGAGAGGGAGAGAGATAGAAACATCAATGATGGCCGAAACCAGTTTGGCTCAGTGGATAGAGCGTCGGCCTGCGGACTGAAGGGTCCCAGGTTCGATTCCGGTCAAGGGCATGTACCTGGGTTGCGGGCACATCCCCAGTGGGAGATGTGCAGGAGGCAGCTGATCGATGTTTCTCTCTCATCGATGTTTCTAACTCTCTATCTCTCTCCCTTCCTCTCTGTAAAAAATCAATAAAATATATTAAAAAAAAAAAAAGAAACATCAATGATGAGAATAATTAATTGGCTGCCTCCTGCACGCCCCACACTGCGGATTGAGCCTGCAACCTGGGCATGTGCCCTGACTGCAATTGAACTGTGATGCTCAACCACTGAGCCAAGAGGCCGTTTCTTCTTATTTTTTTTAAAATTGATTTTTAGAGAGAGAGGGAGAGATAGAGAGAGAAACATCAATGTGACAGTAAAACATCCATCGGCTGCCAGGCATGTGCCCTGACCAGGAATCAAACCGGCAACCCTTCGGTTCATGGGACGACACCCAACCAACTGAGCCACACTGGCCAGTTGGAGGAGCTTATCACATCCCCCGAGAAAAGGGATACTGAGGCAGACCTAGACATCTCCTGCATTGACAGTGGAGTAGTCATTTGCAGATTTCAGAGCATTTTCAGGGCAACTCTGTGAACTGAGAAGAACAAACATTTCACCCCCATTTTATACATAGGACACAGAACTACAGAGTGGGTGTTAGGATTCCTGATTGCAAGAGACAGAAACCAGACTTACCATAGCTTAGACTAGAAGAGAAACTGATTGGCTCATGTATGTTTCCCCACCACGGGCAGCCAGGCCTTAAAGAAAGGGTGACACTTATCTCCTTCCTGTTCCTTTCTTTTTATCGGTTTTGTTGTCAGAGTATTTCTCCACACAACTCCAGGAGAAACGGCCACCAGCAGTCCCCCTGGTTCACCCCCGGTCAGCAGGGGTCTAGGCCAGGGGAACAGGTGCTTGAGTGGGTTCTGATGAACTATGTTTGGCTGGTGGCTGTCCGTGGAAAAGCACATCTGGACTTGGGTGGGAGAAGGTGACTTCCTGAAAGTAGGGAGAGGGATGCAAATAGATGAATTTGAAAGTGAGGTGCAGATATCTATGCTGCTTCCTGCGATAAAAGTACAGTGAAACATCTGCCCCAAATCGGGGCCTTTTCAGGCACAGGCATCTCTGTCTGGGGGAGGAGGGCAGCAGGTACTGTGGAGTCCCAACTGTGGGGCAGAAAGAAGACAGGCATGTGCTTCTGTCGAGTTTTAACGTCTTTGCCTTTTGTGTTTGAAGCAAATGCCACCGGCACAGAGAGCTCAGACCCGACACCCAAGAGCCTCACTGCCCTTGTGTACAAAGACCCAGCCTCTGGCTTTCCTCCGACTGACACGGAAGTCCTGCTTCTTGGGTTAAAGTCTGACATGTCATACAATGCCACTGTTTATCCTCAAGCACCAACCGGCCTGGAAGGAGAGCCCCAGCTCATAGTCTTCAGGACACGTATGTTGGATTCATAAAATGGCTTCAGCTAGTTTTGAGCACTAAGTTTTGTCCTCTGTGATTCTGAGTTACCTCTTGCTTCACAAGCGGTTCTGTTGTTACATGGAGTTTTCCGGAAGAGGTTCCGGACAGAGCAGACCCGTTGAGGTTCTTCTTAGCCCTGTGGCCAAGGCGCTTCTTTCTCTGAGCTCAGGAAAGCACAGGGAGCAGCCACTCTGTGCAGACCCCGGGAGCTGCCTCGGGTTTTCCTTCATTTCTCTGCACATGAGCCAATGAGACAAGCTGGTGTGATATTTTTCTCTTACAAACTGATACTCCCTTAGTCAGTGTTGGTTAAGTCTTTTCTCCTTGAGATAAGAGAACGAGTTTCCTCTTTTGGACTGACCTTGGGAAGCACACTGCTCTTTCTTTAAAAAAAATATATTTTTATTGATTTCAGAGAGGAAGGGAAAGGGAGAGAGAGATAACAACATTAATGATGAGAATCATGAACTGGCTGCCTCCTGCATGCCCCACACTGGGGATCAAGCCTGCAACCTGGGCCTGTGCTCTGACTATCTAACCTCCTGGCTGATAGAGCGACACTCAACCACTGAGCCACACCAGCTGGCAGCATGCTGCTCTTTCTGTGGAAACTTGTGCATGTTGCTGCTTTTTACCTCTCCTTTATCAGCACCTCCACCCTGTAGATTGACCAGTACGGGAAGGCTTTTTGGATTGGTGCTGGTGAGCGGCTAAAACAAATGCACAGTCCCTATCCTCAGGGAGTTTCAGTCTAGATGATAATTGAGACACAAATACTTGGAAAAGCACATGGCCTGCTCTGCGGGTTTAGGAGCAACCACCACAGCATTGCAGTTCTCAGGGGCTTGGTGGCAGGCAGCATAACCTGACTCTGGTTGTCTTATCCAAAAGTATATCTATTCTGAAAGGCTGTCGTAGGCCCACAGAACAGAGGGTGGGGGCCGGAGGACTCAGGACAGAAAAGGGATTGGCATCCAGAAAACTCTGGTTGGCTGGACTGCACTGGATCTGGTGACACTCTGAGGATTCAAAGTCCCGAGATGGAGAGCTGTCACATACCCACTTTCTGGATTTCTGTGCTGGAGAAGGGAGATGCTATCCCCCAGCTTCTACATGGGTCACAGGCGCTTCCTCCCACCAAGGGGGCATGGAGTGCTGTTTGGAAAAGGGTCTGCACAGGGAATGCATGGTCACTGTCCACTGTCGCTGCCCATGAGGGAATCCACCACATCACATGGAAAACAAAGAGCAGCTATGCCATTGCAGTTGGCCAGGCTGCTTCTTCATAGAAGAAGATGCCTAACTTGTGCTGGGACCCCATACATGTGTGTGTTGTGGTTAAACGGTGTAGGATAGAAAGGAACCATCGCTGAGGGTATTTCTTAGACTAGATGGCATGCCCAAGGACGGTGTCTCTCTCTCTCTCTCTGGCTTGGCCGTTCTGGTTATTGTGAACTCCTCTCGTGTCTTCGCAGAATCCAGTCAGGTTTTTGACATCGAAGCTACAAACGTCGCTGCCACGAGCATGATCCTGACCTGGAAAATCAATAATGATTCGTGCTCTGTCTACACCTACAAGATACACGTTGAGCCCACTTCCCTCAATCTCAGTCTCACCATCAATGAGACTCAGGCTGTCATCGCCGGACTCAGCTCGAGCACCTTGTACAACATCACGGTGCGCCCGTTCCTGCAGAACGGCTCTGCGGGCATGCCGGGCTTCCTCCAGGTGTACACCCGTGAGTGCACGCATTGTTAGCTAGCCTTTCTTGCCCACCTGCCATGCGCCAGGCCCAGTACGAGGCTCTGCTCCTGCCCTGCAGGGCCGAGCGTGTGAGTCCACGGGACTTCTACGTTCAGGATCTGCGATACAATACCGGTGATCCTCCACCGACCCTGCCACATGCCCACGTTGTGTGATGTGTTTTCCTCGCTCTGTCTCGTTTACTGTTCACAGCCCTGTGACCTGGTTGCCACTAGGCTGTTTTATGGACGAGGCAGCCAAGGCTGAGAGAGGTGCTGTTGGCCGGTGTCACACTTGGCAGATGACAGAGGTGGGGTTAGACAGCTGGGGTGTCTCGACCCCAGCCTGTGCGGGTAAGGACCATTCCGGTGTGGCAGAGACGTGGAGCAACTTGCTACACGGAGACAAAAAGAACCTAGATATTCATGTCCCCTTGTCCCTAAAGTGCTGATGTATAATGAAGCAGGGCTCAGCTGTGTCTCATCCCTTGTTCGCTTAACTGTCCCTTAAAGATCAGATGATAGGCAGCACATTAAAAGCTTTTTGTCCAAAGAGGCTCCAATACTTTAGAATAAAACGAACAGCATGCCAGTGGTGTCGTCGGGTAATACTATAACAGTATCAGGGTAGCAGTGGCCTTTGAGGTAGGTAGTAGGATCCCTGTTTTACAGATGAGAAAACTACAGCTCAGCTGGGCTGAACAGTTGGCCCAAGGCCACAGAGCTAGCAAGTGGCAGAGCAGGGACTGGAACCCAGAGATCCTGGCTCATCCCACAACAGTGCTTTCATCCAAGGTTTGCCCCTTCCCAGGAAGCACACCGGCAGTGGCCAAGGTCCCCCTCCAGACCCTGAACCCTTGACCCCCGGGATCCACGCCTCCTCTCATTTCCTGCGGATGACCTTGAACAACCTAAGCTGTTTCTGCACTCTTGTAGCCAAGTGTTCTCTCAGTGGCCAGACACCAGTTTCTGAGGGGGTTCGCGTTGTAGGTGACAGTGCAAAGAAGAGAAAAAGAGAGGTCAGGGTCATTTAGCCTCATTGTAAATATTTTGTGAGGTTCAGTCACCTTGTTTTCTGGAGATAGAGCCTTACTTGCCCCCTACGTTCTTCCCTCAGGTCCTGGTCCAGTTTCTGACTTCCAAGTGACGAGTGTCACCACAAGGACTGTTAGCTTAGCTTGGAGCAGCAATGACTCGGACTCCTTTAGAATACTCACCACACAGAACGGAACTGGAAAATCTCAGGAGACAACCACCCAAAGTAGTATCATCATTGGTGACTTATACCCTGGGACCGAGTATTGTTTTGAAATATTTCCACAAGGGCCAAATGGGACTGAAGGGGATTCCCGGACAGTTTGCAATACAACTGGTAAGCAAATAGGCTGTGTTGTCTGTGAAACAGTGATGGTTCTTAAAGGAAATCAGTATAATTTATAAATGTCAGGTTTTCCAAATATTGTTTTTCTTTTATTATCTAAGACAAGCCTTTAAAAAACATTTATAATGACAGTAATGCATAGTCATTCTATAAAATACAGACAAGAAAAAAAATCACGCATAAACCATCAATCAGAGATAATCACTGGTAACTTTTGATGTATGAAGTTTTATAATTTAAAGATATATACAGGGAGACCCTGGCCCGGTAGCTCAGTTGGTTAGACTGTCATCCTGATATGCCAAGGTTGCAGGTTCCATCTTTGCTAGGGGCACAGAGAAGAAGCAACCAATTAATGCATAAATAAGTGGAACAATAAATTGATTTTTTTCTCTCTCAAAATCAATTAAAAAAACAAAAACCCTGCCCACACATTAAGAAAAAAGACGTATACAGGTATACATGTACACACACACACACACACACACACATCTATATATATATTATTGTCACACAATAATATATATATTTATTATGTGACAAACATTGAAGTCATCCTGTACATGTGGTTTTGTAATCTGCTTTTCTCCACATACCAGTTTACTATAAGCATTCTTTCCTGACATATAAATATTTCTACAGGATAATTTTAATATCTTCCTGGCATTCCATTGTTTACATCAGGGGTCAACAGATAGTAATGGCCCATGGGTCAAATCTGGCCAACTGTTTTTGTAAATAAAGTTTTATTGAAACACAGCCATACTTATTTGTTTATGTACTCTCTATGGCTTCTTTTGTGCTGTAAATGAGTAATTGCAACAGAGACTATGGATATGGCCCACAAAGCCTAAAATATTTGCTCTGTGGCCTTATGGAAAAGGTTTACTTCATGAGGTGGGTGCCATTATCATCTCTATTTTCCAGAGTAGGAAATAGGGCAGCGGTTCTCAACCTGTGGGTCGCAACCCCTTTGGGGGTCGAACGACCCTTTCACAGGGATCGCCTAAGACACATATATAATTACATATTGTTTTTGTGATTAATCACTATGCTTTAATTATGTTCAATTTTTAACAATGAAATTGGGGGTCACCACAACATGAGGAGCTGTATTAAAGGGTCGCAGCATTAGGAAGGTTGAGAACCACTGAAATAGGGACTCTGCAAGTGTAAGTAACTGGCCCAGAGTGACAGGGCAGTGAACTGGCCTCTGCCTTTGAAGACAGGTTTTAAGCATAGTGTGGACTGATACTTAGATATGGTGCAGCTGCGAAGTAATTGAGGCGCCTATAATAGGTCTCAGTGAATGAAAATCAATGAGAGTAGCAAGAAGGCAGTAGACTTGTAGGGGATTACCATTCTATTATTGAACAACTTTTATTATTATTAGGGAAAATCAGTGTAACAGCATTAAAGACAATTTTGAAAAAGGAAAAGAAATACCATATGACCCAGCAATTCCACTTCTTTTCAGATAAAAAGCAGTGACTCAAATAGATACTTGTACACCAGTGTTCATAGTAGCATGATTCATAATAGCCAAAAGGTGGAGGCAACCAAGTGTCCTCCAACAGATGAATGGATAGACAAAACGTAGCATATCCATACAATAGAATATTCTTCATCCATAAAACACAATGAAATTCTGATCCATGCTACAATATGGATGGGCCTTGAAAACATTAACATTATGCTAAGTGAAATAAGCCGGACACACAAGGACAAATATTGTAGGATTCCACTTACACGAGGTACCTGGAATAGGCAATTTCATAGACACAAAAAGTAGAGGTTTCCAGGGGCTGGGGTGAGAGGATTGGGGTTGTTGTTTAATGGGGTTTATGTTGAGGATGAGGAACTGTTTGGGGTATAGATAATTTATGGTGATGGTTACACAACGCTGTGAATGTACTTAATGCCCCTGAGCTGTGCTTAGTTATTTCTAAGCCTTGATCTTTGCATTCATACTGTAACTGGTTTATTGTGTCAGGTAGGCGATCAGAGTACAGTGGTGATCAGAGTCCAGTGCCCGCGTGCTCAGGTGGGCGCTTTCACCTCTCACCCCCAGCTCTGAGAGTGGAGGGCGCGTGCGTTTTTTCCCCCTCTTTCCCATCCTGGTCTCAAATGTTCCCACTTAGTAAATATCAACTCTCCATTTCAGTTTTTCTCTTTGGTATGCTGACTATGTTTCAGGAAGATGTCTTCTTTTGAGGGAATGATTAAAAACAATTTGTTGAGAATAACATAAATGAGGGAATGACTAAAAACACTTTGTTGAGAATAACATACATCCGAAAAGCACACACATCCTAAGTGCATGGTGTGGTGAATTTTCACAAGCCCAACCCATCTGGTCGCCAGCATTCAGGTCAGGAAACTGAATGTGATTTTTACTAGAAGACCCCCAAGGGGGCACTTTTATGACCAAGGCAAAGGACCAGAGAACTGATGGGGTGAACTGGTAAGTGCCTCGGTGTTATGGGAGAGCCAACATTCTTGAAAGAACTGAGTGTGTTTCTCACCCGTGTTTTGGAGTTTGCGCTTTGTGAACTCATTTGAGACCGACGATGAGAGAACAAGTTCCCTTGACAGACACTTTGAAGTGAAGCTGGAGGTTACGATGGTCATTAACAGACTTCCCCCCGCTTCCTCCAACCAGACTCCGCTGCTGTGTTTGACATCCGCGTGGTCCATGTCACCACAACTGAAATGACGTTAGAGTGGCAGAGTATAGACAATGCCTCTGACTACATCTACCACCTACAGCTGGAGTCTAAGCATGGCTCCAGCCAGATGAACAGCTCCGACAAATCCATCACTCTCAGGGACCTGCTCCCGGGCACCTTATATACCATCACCATTTTCCCAGAAGTGAACGGTGTCCGCGGGAGCTCCAGCTTCACTGTGCAGTACACACGTAAGTGTCTTACGACGCCCTCTTAAAGGGAGTGTCTCCCGGACTTTCACTTAGAGGGTGGGAAGTAGGCATTGCCCAGGGGCCATTGTTTCTGGGCTTCAGGTCTAATGTGAAGCTCTTGAAGCTGAAAATATCAGCAAAGGTTCTGTTCTTCTCATGGGGCACTGGTGCTGAGCCTTGTGAACTTGGAATTGTCTTTAGAAGCAGAAAGCGATCCCATAAGCACGGGAAACATGCCTGTCCCGTTCATTCCTTGGGAGTTCAGATGAGGGGAGGGTCTGCCGGTCCTTGGTGTTGGAAGATACTGCTCAGAGGAGGAGCTCTGCATGCAGCAGTGAGGGAGGCACTTTGCTCATATTCGATCTAAATAAGTGTGTGGTAGAGATGGTAGTCTATAATATCTTTTTAGCATATATTTTTCTTTCACTAATCAGATTTCAGAAACAGATAGGAAATTATATCTTGAAAATTTTGGACACATACGAAGTGTCAACAGAAGCATGAAACAGTTTATTCTTTTGAGATATAATCTGTATAATTATTTTCTGGATGTTTTTTTGAGAAGTCTTCCATCTTTTGAATTAGCAAATATTAGGTTTATTCATTCTTTCCCAAAAGGAGCTAGGCTATTTTTAGATGCACGATATAAAAGAGTCCTGGAATTCAAGCTAATACATGCTTTTTTTTTTCCCCCCAAATCAAGGGCCCAGCAGTGTGTCCGACATTAAAATAAGTACCGACACCACATCAGCAACCTTCAGGTGGCAGAACGCTGATGAGGCCTCTCACGCGTACATCTACCGCCTTCTTATTGAGAAAAATGGGAATTCCAGCAACGCAACTGAAGTAGTCACAGGCATTGGCATCACCGATGCTACAGTCACCGAGTTAACACCTGGCTCCGGGTACACAGTGAAGATCTTCGCCCTAGTGGGGAACGTCACTGAGTCACTGGCGCCTGGCCGGCAGTCCTTCTGTACAGGTGAGTAGCCCCAGGTGCCTGTTGGCCCTCTTCCTGTGGGGTGCCGCCTTGCAGGTGGGTCCTCCCCACACTTTAGTTTATCAGGTTTCGTGTGGTGTGTTATAATAGACAGTGAGCTCTCGGAGGCCTCCTGTTAGCTTATTAGCGCTCTCTTGTTGCCCTCATCACTTATTCATGCAATAAATATTTATTGAGCGCTTACTATGTGCCAGGCACTTTACAATGACTCAGATGAGTCCCAGGCTTCCTGGAACTTGCATTCTGGTGGGGAAGACATAATAAACATGATACATTAGTTATTAGATGATGGTGACTGCCAAGGAGAGGGAAAAACACAAGGAAGGAGGAGAGTAGATGTTTATCGAGGGGTGCCCAGGGAAAGCCTCAGTGAAAAGGTGACTTTTGAAAAAAGATTGGAAGGAGTAAAGAAAGCCAGCCATGTGGACATCAGGGCATTGGGCATTACAGGCAGAGGGGCAGCCAGTGCAAAGGCCCTGAGGCTGCAGGCGCCTGCTGTGTTGAAGGAAAGCAGGAGGCCAGGGTGGCAGGGTCCACAGGAGCAAGAGGGTGAGGGGTAGTGGTGAGGCCTGAGAGGTAATGGCTGGGGCATGGATGACATCTAGATGTAATTTATAGTTTGGCTTTTACACTAAGAAGATGAAAAAGATGTTAAAATGGATGCTCAGCGTTTCACCTTTCTTGGTCCTTATCTCTCACTGCAAAAGGTGTTCTGAAGAGAAGGGGAGCCCTGCATTTAGCTGAGGGAGTTTCCTGAGAGTAGTCAGGGACTGCTTTGCAGACAATTATGAAGACCTCGGCTCACAGTTCTGACTGTGGCCCATGGACCACCTTATTCTCTACTCTCTTTGTACCCACACCTTCCATTCCCTTAGACCAGTGGTCGGCAAACTCATTAGTCAACAGAGCCAAATATCAACAGTACAACGATTGAAATTTCTTTTGAGAGCCAAATTTTTTAAACTTAAACTATATAGGTAGGTGCATTGTTATTAACTTAATTAGGGTACTCCTAAGGCTTAGGAAGAGCCACACTCCAGGGACCAAAGAGCCACATGTGGCTTGCGAGTCGCAGTTTGCCGACCACAGCCTTAGACCAAGCCACTCGAGTGTGTCTGGGCTGATTTAGAAGGCAGGAGACTCATTAGATTAGTCTCCCTGGTAGTGTAGGAGCTGGAACCTCAATGACCTCTGACCTTTCACATGGAGTGGCTAAAGAAATCCCTGCAGCTTTGAGCCACTTTGCTAACTCGGGTTCCATCCCACCTGGTCTAGACTCTGACCTTTGGTATTTGAGTGGCTTCCATTGCTGACCCTTCTCTTAGCTATAATTATTGCAGCCCCCAAAGCAGGAGACAAGTATGCATGAGTATTTGGGATTGCGGGTGGATGGGACAGGAGCTGCAGATATGCATTGGGCAGGTGACCTTGCCAGGCCTCAGGTGGAGAATGTGTGCATTTCTCTAAGTGTCTTGTACAGAATTAAAAAATACGGTGGCATTAAAGTAATGATGGTAATATCCCCAGTGCATTAATATGGAGTTTTTCATTTACATCAGTTTGATGTTGGCTTTCAGTAAAATTCTACTGGCCCTCAGATAGGTAACACCTCATTTTAAAGATGAGGAAACGGATACCATTTTATTGATCATTCAGCATGTTGTGTGTATAGACAATGCCCTAGACTTGGACTTAGAAAGCCTGGGGTCCAATTTTGGCTTCTCCACTTACTAGCTGTGTCATCCTCTACAAATCACTTAACCTCTCTAAGCCTTAGCTGATTCATTGGCAAAACGGGACAGTAATCCCCAAAATGAGATGATGCAGGTGAAGAAGTTGCTACCACCATACTGTGATGAGATGGCTAGCCCGGGCTCTTCCAGTTTGGTGTCCGACAGCCTTTGTTGCATGTAATCCTCAGAGCCCTGCAGCCGAGGCTCAGAGCAGTTGGATGCCGAACCCAACATCACCTAGTTTAGTAATGCCCCATTCAAGGTCAGCCTTGCCTCTTCCACCACACAGCACGCCTGCCTCCTCGTCATGGGCGGACCGGGATCCTACTGCTCTCCAGGTGTCAGTGTTTGCAGAGGCCAGAGCCCCGGAGTCTCATGCTGTGCTATGCTCGCTTTGCAGACCCGGCCCCAGTAGCCTCCTTCCACTGTGAAGTGGTCCCCAAAACGACAACCTTGGTGCTCAAGTGGGCCTGCCCTCCTGGGACCAACGAAGGCTTTCAGCTGGAGGTCAGCAGCGGAGACTGGAAAAATACGACACTCCTGGAGGGCTGCTCCTCGGAGGACGGCACCGAGTACAGGACGGAAGTCACATATTTGAATTTTTCTACCTCGTATGACATCAACATCACTGCCTTGTCCTGTAACAAGATGGCACCTCCCGCCCAGAACACCTGCCGCACGGGCATCACAGGTGGGCTTCGTGGCAGCAGGGTGCCTGGTAGCACTGCAGTTACCCTGGGAGAGGCTGACCTACTGGGTCTGTGAGTGTGGCCTGGAAATCTGCTGTGTGTGTGTGTGTGTGTGTGTGTGTGTGTATGTATGTGTGTGTGTGTGTATGTGTTTAAATTTTTGCTAAAATATTTGTTTTTGTGGGCACGGACTGTTAACCCAACTCTATAGAAACCCAGTCTAAAGAAGCAGAGTAAGAGGGACTTATGTTTTATATCCCAAAAGTTTCCTTTGCTTTGCAGAATAATTCATTGCCACATTTTCTAACTAGTGAGTTCCCTTACTACATTAAAAAAGTATTTTTATAGAAATATTCAAATATACAAAAAAGTACAAGGAAGTATACAGAAACCCATGTGCCCATTGTCACCCAGTTGAATACTTGTTAGCACTTGGCCAATCTTATTTCATTTGTATCCCTTCCCCCTTCCCTTCTGGTCCCCCCCCCCCCCAATGTGATTACTTTGAGGCCAGGCCCCTGGTCATACTAGAATTTTATTTGTAAATCAAATGTATGTATGTATCGCTCCAAGATAGGAACTTCTTTTTTCTTCCTGCCAAACATAACCACGTTACTATTATTATCTCACATAAAAATGTAGAATACTTTTCTCACTATTTCTAGATATTTAGTCAGGATTCTCATTTCCCTAGAATCCATATTAACAAGCTCCCCAGTTGTTTTGGGAAATGGGACCATTCACTGCATAGGTGCACAGGGGATCCCACAGTTACTCTTCTCATGCCCATCTTTGTTTTGTTGCTGTTCTCAGAGGAAATTGCTTCTCTCTTTGCTTCACTTTTACCTGTGTTTTGCTCTCCATGACTTTGCCAACATTAAGTCTTCCATCATCCTGGTTGAGTTTGTTTTGCTTTGTGCTTTTAGACTCCTGGATATGTTTCCTTTAGGGCAGCGGTTCTCAACCTGTGGGTCGCGACCCCTTTGGGGGTCGAACGACCCTTTCACAGGGGTCGCCTAAGACCATCGGAAAACACATATATAATTACATATTGTTTTTGTGATTAATCACTATGCTTTAATTAGGTTCAATGTGTAACAATGAAATTGGGGGTTACAACATGAGGAACTGTATTAAAGGGTTGCAGCATTAGGAAGGTTGAGAACCACTGCTTTAGGGTATCAGAAAGTTTCCAGACAATTTCTAAAGAATTGGTGGCTGTAATTATAAGGGGAAAAAAGCCTCTTACTTCAGGGGCTTTGACTTGGAAAGTGGTTGAGGGATTCTGGGGACAGAGCCTTAGACTTAGAAAGGCAGACCTGGGTTTTGAGTCTAACCTCTGCCTTTTACCAGCTGTGTAATCTCAGAAAAACTACTTAACCTCTCTGAGCCTTGCTCTCCTGAGCTGTGAAAGGGGAGCATAACACCTACCCTCAAAGACTGTTGTACAAATTATATGAGGTAATAATGTGTGTAGAAGACACTTACGGGCGGCCTGTGTAGCCGCTCAGGTTGTGCAGGGCACAGTTCAGGGGACACCGTTCACATGGACTCCGATATGCGTGGGGCTCCCTGGAGTTGTGGCGTACACGACCGTGCAGGACTGTCCTGGGTCCCGCTCCTTTGGGGGTCCTGCAGCACCCCAGAACATAATAGAAACAATGGATCTTGCGGGTACCTTTTTGTAGTTCTGTCTTACGATGTCATCTCCTCAGTGGGTATCAACTCCTGGGAACAGAAACCGTGTCTGACGCGGCGTCTCCAGGGCCGAGCCCCGTGCCTAGTGGCGAGTGGGAGCTTGTCGGAGTCGGTGGTTTCCGAAGCTGAAGCATGTGTGTTAGGATCGAGTAGTCACCGCTGTCATTTAGTCCAGTGACTCTCTGTGATCTGTAGCTCCCTTTCCTCAGATGGATTTTTATGTACAAATTGAACACATTTTTCATTTGGATAAAAGTGGAGCTGCATTTTCTCCGTTGCCGGGTGGTAAATCAGGGAGGTGGAGGGGTGTGGGTTTTGTAGCCGACGTTGTTGGGTGCTCACTGTGCGCCGGGTGAGGGACACATGGTGAGCGAGGCAGGCAGGGCCCTGGGCGTAGGGGTGAGATGGGCAGGGAGAGGGAAGGTGGGTGACGGAGGTGGGTGACTGGCCTGCCGCTGACAGTCTTGGGTGGGAGGCTGGTGGGCTGAAAGGCACGGCTGCTGGGAAACGTGGGAGCCTTGGTTGGCGGTCTCCACAGTTGGCAATTAGACACGGGACACTGCCTCCAAGTGGCCACTGCTGTCAGTTCTAGGGAGGTTGCTAAGCCAGGTCTAGAGCCGTGCTGTCCACTAGAAAATAATGTGACCCTCATGTGTAATAGGATATATTCTATTATGACATGTTGATGTAACTCAGATTTTTATAGGAGGCATATGAAGAAAATGTAAAAAAGGAATAACTGCAGTGAGTTGCGATCACGCTTTGTTGAACTCAGTGTATGTAAAATGCTATCGTTTCCACACGTCATCTGTATAAGTGAGCCCGGAAGCTCCCACCACTTCCTTCCCTGCTCCTGCTCCTGCATCTGCTCTGTGTGAGCCCAGCATACTGTTCCCAGAGCCAGGGCAGGACTTGCAGGCACTGCCGATTCTGTGCTTAATAATTGTTCCGTTTTTGGTTTTGATGCCGCTGATCACGTTTGTGTTGTTCTGTTTCAGATCCCCCTCCTCCAGATGAGTCTCCCAATATTACGTCTATCAGCCACAATTCGGTCAAGATCAAGTTCAGCGGGTTTGAAGCCAGCCACGGACCCATCAAAGCCTATGCTGTCATCCTCACCACGGGGGAAGGTAAGGGGGTCATTGTGGGGTGAACAGCCAGTGAGTGACGCCCTGACCAGACCCCATTTCTGTGCCCACTGAGGCACATGAGAGAGATACAAATGCATTGTAGCCCACGCTTGGCACTCAGATGGGGTGGGAGGGGGTCGGCTGTGTGCCTGATGATGTAGGTCAGGGGTTGACAAACTCTCTGTAAAGGGCCAGACAGCATATATTTGAAACTTTGCAGGCCTTACCTCTCCGTCCCAGCTGTTCAGCTCTGCTCCTGTGAAAGCAGGCATAGAAAATACAGAAAGAATGAGTGGGTTGTTCTAGTAAAATGCCATTGACCAGAACGGGCCGCGGGCGGATCTGGTGCATGGACTGTAACTTGCCGACCTCCGATCTAGGTTTTTCATCTCTTTTACAACACAGGGTCTTATCTTTTGGGTGGCAGAAGGTGTCTTAAGCAACTTTCTCGGTCTCTCTGTCTCTCTCCCCACCTTCCCCCCCCTCCCTCCCCCCCACACACATGCAAATGCACAAGCACAAATCAGCAGCACAGCAAGCAGACACAATGATTTGCATTTGTAGTGGGAACTTGCAAAGAGCATCGCATAGCTGAGCGAGGAGGTGGAGGAAGGCTGCTTTTCCTTAAATGCCCCAGTGCATTCTCTGGAAGTAAGAAAGGAACGATGCTAGGGTGTCTGCTAGCTGCGTGGGGGTGCTTTGCACAAAGCCTGGATTGAAAATGCCAAGTTGTGTTGTTTTTGGTGGTTCTTTGTTTTTTTTTTAATGTACTTTTATTGATTTCAGAGAGAGAGGTAGAGAGATAGAAACACCAATGATGAGAGAGAATCGTTGATTGGCTGCCTCCTGCATGCCCCACCCTGGGAACTGAGCCTGAAACCCGGGCGTGTGTCCTAACCGGCAATGGAACTCCTGGTTCATGAGTCAACACTCAGCCACTGAGCCACACCGGCCAGGCCATGGTTTTGATGGTTCTTTAAATGTGAAGAATGCAGCGCAGCTCCTGTGATTTCAACCTGTGATACTGTCCTCATGTCGAGGGAAGTGGAGCGCAAACACCCCGCCAGGTGTGGGATCCTGCAAGACAAGGAGCTTGCTGCTGTCATAAACCTGCGGCAGAATCTCAAGCAGTGACATCGAGGTCTTTCTCTGTCTTTCTGCCTTTTGTGTTGAGTCTGTTTCAAATGTCTAGTCAGTTTGCTCTGAGGGTTTTCAGCAAATTCCACACTCAGGCCTCTGCTGAAAGAGGGAGGCCATATTGCATAGTGGCCAGCCTGTGATGGAAGAGGCCACAGGCTCCAGTCAGATCGTCTGGGTTAGAAATACCGCTGTACCACGTAGGCAGTGTGGCCTTGGGTCCTTGTCGATTTCCATGCCTTCATTTTCCCATCTGTCAAATGGGGATGATAAACCAATGTGATGAGATGACGGTGGCGGTTCAACGAGTTCCTGTAAGTGAAGCACTGGCACGGAAAGCTTCCTCGAGAGGTGGCGTCTCATCACCGTCACCCAGTGTCACTGTCCTTATGTGGCTTGCTAAGTCTCTCTGCAGTCATTTCCTTATGGCTTCCCTTCTGTGCTCCTTTCTTAGGTAACCCGTCTGCAGAGGATTTGAGCTACACCTACGGAGATTTCAAAAGGGGGGCCTCGGCCACTTACGTGACGTATCTCATCACAACGGACGAACAGACGCGGTCGCAGGGCCTGTCGGAAGTCCTGAAATACGAAATCGCCGTGGGGAACGAGTCCAACACCCACGGCTACTACAACGGGAAGCTGGAGCCCCTGGGCTCCTATCGGTAAGGGCTCCTGGTTCCTCCTCTGTGGGGGCCGAGCCTCCCGGGCACAGAGCTTTCCATGCCTGGGAGCCGGACACGCTCAGCCGCCTCTCTTTCCTCCGGTCACCCCACAGGGCTTGTGTGGCTGGCTTCACCAATATCACCTTCAGCCCCGAGAGTGGACTCATAGACGGGAATGGGAGCTACGTGTCCTTCAGCCGCTACTCAGAGGCCGTGTCCTTGCCCCAGGACCCAGGTAGAGGAAAAACATCAGTGCTGCTAGCAGTCCTGTGGGTGTGGCTGCCAGTGTCCACAGAAGGCTGGGTGTCCCATGGGCTCCAGGAGGGTTGGAGTGCCTGGTTTCTCTTCTCAGAAGTTGAGGTGTCATTTGGCCATGAGGTCCCCATGGCCCCCGCCCCCTTCTAGGCCAGCTGCACTTCAGTCTGCAGTTGTGTGTGTGCCCACGTGCCAGTCACACAGGGTGACTCAGTGCCTAGAATCCTCGAAGGAGCCACAGGGATCGTCTTGTCCAACTCATTTGAGAAATGAGGGCGTTAAGGCCCAGAGAGGGGCAGGGACTCCCTGTGGCTTAGGGGCAGCCCTGACATTTGGTCTCAGACTCCGCGTCAGGCGCTCCTGCCCTTGCTCACACAGAGCGCGGTGATTTAGGGCGTCAGGGACCCCAGCAGGGATCGTCCCCTCCCTCCAGGCCAGAGTCAGAGGGACCCACCGGCTGGTCAGTTTGTCTGGTTCTCACACTTGGTAGTTGCTCACTACAGGAAAGATTCCTGCCCCAGGAGCGAGGTGCTGGGAGTCTCCACACCTGCCCCAGCGGGGAGGTGGGTTCACGTCCCCTGCTCACCGTGGCTGTTAGTCTCAGCAGGTGAGAGGTGTGCCAGTGTTGCCTCACCAAACAGGGCCGAGCCCCGAGACGGCCCCCACTCCCACCGCTACCTCAACTCGAGTGGTTGGGCTGCTGCGCGCAATTTCACTTGAAGAAAGAAATCCGTGGGTTAGAACCCGAGAATCACTGTGCTAGCCCAGTTCCCTAAATTTGCCGCCGGGGAAACAGACCTGGAGACCTGGGGACGCAGCAGTGAGTTTCCGAGGCCCCCCAGTTAGTGGTGAGCTGGCGACCAGTAACCCAAATGCCTAGACTAGTTTTAGGCCCAAAGGTATTGAACCTTGTGTATGTCACACACACACACATGCACACACGCACACGCACACGCACACTCACACCCGGTGGCTGGGGAGCACCTCCCGAAGGTGTCTCCCCTTTGGACTTCTCGCAGGTGTCATCTGTGGAGCTGTGTTCGGATGTATCTTCGGTGCCGTGGTGATTGTGGCTGTTGGAGGCTTCATCTTCTGGAAGAAGAAAAGGTGACTGTTGCTTGCATTAATAATAACGGACTACGTTTTGAAGACAGCTTTTTATTATGGGAAATTTCACTGTTACACAATTGGAGGGAATGGTGTCTCGAGCCCCATGGCCCCCTTCTCCACAGTCTCGATTGTATGAATAGTCTTAGTTCATCTCCACCCCGAGCTGGGGGACTTAAAGCCGATCCCAGCCCTGATGTCGGGCCATGGGTAGACACTGCGCGTAGGTCGCTCCTTTTATTTTTTTATTATTTATTTTAAATATATTTTATTGATTGTTTACAGAGAGGAAGGGAGAGGGATAGAGAATTAGAAATATCAATGAGAGAGAAACATCGATCAGCTGCCTCCTGCACACTCCCTACTGGGGATGTGCCCGCAACCAAGGCACATGCCCTTGACCGGAATCAAACCTGGGACCCTTCAGTCCACAGGCCGATGCTCTATCCACTGAGCCAAACTGGTTAGGGCAGGTCGCTCCTTTTAAACAGTGTGTCCAGTTCACAAACCAGTTTCCAGGTGTTAAGAGATTTCCGTTTAGAGTTAGCTAACTTTGGACACGGGCCCTGTCTCTGGCTCAGCGTTATTGTCCTCATCTGTGAAGGGGCGGGGGGGGGGGGGGGGACAGTGTCTAACTCAAGATGCTGAAGAGCATTAAATAAACAAAGTGCTTTGCTATGCTATGACTAGCATCTGTACAACTACCGTTTGAGGGGGTTAAATGGCTCCGTTTTGAGTGCTTACCGGGTGCCTGCATTTGTGCTTCCCTCGAATTCTCATGCGAGGCAGGTCTTGCAGGCCCCATGGCAGGAAGGCAGGAAGGAGCTGAGTGTCGGAGTGTGGAGACAGACATGAAGCTGGTCTTCGCTCTGGCATACCCTCTTGCCTGGCTGTGTGCTGTGTGACGCCTGCATCTCAGCTGGGATGCATCGCTGTCATCAGGCCAAAGGACTTTCCTCCCGGCCCACGGTTTCTAGTGGGGCCTCGCAGGTTCTTCTCCACCACCTTGGCCTATTGAGTTGACAGGCAGTGCTCACGGTCCAGTGTTTTGCATTAGATTCTGATACTTTTTTTTTTGCAAGGGCGGGGCCCAAACCAGCTTTATTGTGTCTTGTTAAAATAAAAGTGATACGTGCTAAAACCAAGAATCAAAGTGAAAGAAGAGCAAAGGAAATAGATAATCCATAATTGTAGCATATGAAACGACTCTTAACATGGATGTAATTACAAAACTCACACAACGTCGTACATGCATACACACACAAGTGGAACCATATGATACATATTGTTTTCCAGCCTGCTTTATTCACTTTAAGACGTGGGTAACTTCATTTCTTCTTCACTTTAAATGGCTACAGAGTATTCAGCTCTATGAATATTATTTAACCAATTTCCTAATATTTTTTCTTTGCCACAGTTATTTATCCTTGTGCCTAAACCTTTGGGCACATTCATGATTATTTCTTTAAATTCCAAGCGGGCAGCGGCTGAGTCAGGGGGTATACATGTTTTTGATTTTGATACTAGAGCCAAATTCTCTTCCAGAAAGTGTTTTTAACATTTGTATGGGGCTTAGCCAAGAGTGCAGGAGAGCAGCAGGCGCCCCACTACCTTCCCTGTGCTGGCTATAGTTTCTGGTTTATTCCGTTAACTGATCAGAAAGACTTTATAAAAGCAGAGTATGAAATAGCGAGTCTCACTTTAGAATAAGGTAATGCTGCTGATACATATTTATGCGAGGGATTTCCTCAAAGCCACTGAGGAAGAGCCGTCCACACTTTTAGATGGTGCAAAGAGAGGATCTCCACGGGTCTGTGTAGTCAGGACTGGTTGCTTAGATCGTTAAACTTGGTGTCGTATATGGATTAATGCCCAGGGAAAAGGCATTTCGTAGATACATGAAAGGGGCAAAGCACAGAATTAACTTTTTTTTTTCTTGTCTAATGTTTTTTTTTCCTTTTAAAACAGGAAAGATGCAAAGAACAATGAAGTGTCCTTTTCTCAAATTAAGTAAGTCTCTAGTGTTATGAGCTTTATTTTAAGACATTCCATCCCCCATCCGTTCAGTAATGGTCTAGACAATTTTTGATGGAAACTGCTGTCCCTTTTCCTGATTGACACATCTGGCCAGGAGCGTCCAGAAGCTCTTGCTGGCTTTGTTATTCTGCAAGGAATCTGTGGGGGTCGGTCTCCTGCACTAGCTTCTTGCCATGGCCACTACGGCAAGTAGGACCATATGTACAACATTCTACCAACACTTCCACGAATAAATAGATGTTTTGCGATTAAAAAATAGGTTATCCAGATCTAGGAGCAGAGAATTTGCTCAGAGTTACAAAGCCGAACAGTTACGTCACGGGGCCTAGAAGTCGAATTTCCGAATGCACGTTTCTGAGTTTTGTAAATAACATGCCACTGACCCCTCCACCAAACTCCCTCCCTCCAGAAAAGATTACTATGGATTGTCTCCTTTGGGGAAGCTGTTTACTGTCACCTCCAAGGGCATGGTTGGTTGAGTCATTTTTTCTAATTGCCTATTTTTTTTCTTTCCCTTTCTATGGTGAAGACCTAAAAAGTGAGTAAGCTCTTGGCTTTTTAAAAAATAACTCGCATTTTTCTATTTTAAACTTGGTTGAACGTATAACGTCCTAATACGTTGTTTTGTTTTCTTAGATCCAAGCTAGTCAGAGTGGAGAATTTTGAGACTTACTTTAAGAAACAGCAAGCTGACTCCAACTGTGGGTTTGCAGAAGAATATGAAGTATGTGGTTGTAAATACTGTGCTTTCTGTTGCTTCGTGTTCCCTGAAAGTTGTAAAACTGCCCATTTTCGTTTTATGGTGAAGCTCTGGGTAAGAGGCAGCCCGTGGGAGGGGGCAGCAGCTCTTGTGTTTCCCCCGGGGTCACCCTGCTGCCGTGTGGCCTGTGAGCACTTAGGTCAGGGTTGGGGAACGTCCATCCCCTTATACGGCCCATGAAATCATTTGGTCTGGCCCTGCCAAGGCATTGGGGGTGAGTTAATTACGTGTTTGACCAATATAGCAGGCTAATGTTTAAGTTGATAATTTCATATCGCCTGCGAACGATGTTATAAATATCCAAATGGCCCTTTGCAGAAAGAAGGTTCCCCACCCGTGACTTACTAGTAGATGGACCTTTGATTCTCATTAGTGTTGATACCTAAAGGTTATGCAGAGATACAGAAACTGGGAATTCAAGCTAGAGGGCTGTTAACTATATTTGAACACTAACTAAATGGACAACTTACTTGTTTTATTTTCAGGATCTGAAGCTTGTTGGAATTAATCAACCTAAATATGCAGCTGAACTGGCTGAGAATAGAGGGAAGAACCGCTATAATAATGTTCTGCCCTGTAAGTTGTTTTTTCCCCACATGGCCTTCCTTTTTTTCTGTCCTTGGCCATCGCTGCTTAGCAGTGGAAGGAAGGGGAATCAAAATACCAACTAGCCACTTCCACAACCGTTCATTAGTCACCTGCGGTGTGCTAAGCACTGTATTCCGGCATCTTCCATGGAATCCAGTCCTCACGACAACCTTATAAAATAGGTAGTGGGATATTTATTTTGCAAATGAGGAAAATGAGGCACAGAGTAGCTAAGTGACTTGTGGCAGGACCAGGCTTGGGCGAGGTCTGTCCGTCTTTTTTTTTTTTTTTAATATATATTTATTGATTTCAGAGATGAAGGGAGAGGGATAGAGAGATAGAAACATCGATGAGAGAGAAACATCATTGATCGGCTGCCTCCTGCACGCCCCCTACTGGGGATCGAGCCTGCAACCCAGGCATGTGCCCTGACAGGGAATGGATCCTGTGACCTCTTGGTTCCTGGGTGGATGCTCAATCACTGAGCCATACCGGCTGGGCTGTAGGTTTTGAGGAAAAGGTAAATTGCTGAGGGTGTTACCTGGCTCGTGGCTCTCACCCAAGGATGCTCACAGTGGTGGCTTGTGTCGTCTGAGAAGGCGGGGTGGCCTGGTTGAGAGCTGGGGCCCTGGTGCCAGGCTGCCTGGATTCGATCCTTGATTCTGCCACTGACTGCCGTGTAGCCCCTCTGCCACGGTGACATAGGGGGACTGTGAGGATTAAATGTGGCCGCATGTGTCAGTGCCACCCTGTGTCCCCCCAAGGGGTGACAGGGCCCCTGTGCTACCTTGTACCTGTTTTTCCTCTCTTGTATGTCTCTCTCCTCAAGTGTTTGCTTCTCACGAGGAACTTTTTTCCTCTTAAACCCGCAGATGATATTTCCCGTGTCAGACTTTCAGTCCAGACCCATTCAGCTGACGACTACATCAATGCCAACTACATGCCTGTAAGCGGGGAGAGGTTCTCAGAGCACTGGCTTGTTGGGGTGACCTTCAGAGCTCCCCTTTCTGCTCCTTTGACATTGAATATGTGTGGCTTTCCATTTCTAGGGCTACCATTCCAAGAAAGATTTCATTGCCACCCAAGGACCTTTACCCAACACTTTGAAAGATTTTTGGCGTATGGTTTGGGAGAAAAATGTATATGCCATTGTCATGCTGACCAAATGTGTTGAACAGGGAAGGGTAAGCATCTTTTAAAAATTATATATTATTAAACTTATTAATTTTTTTTTTTTTTTTACTGTGGTGGAAGGTTAAGTATCTTAAACACCATTTGTCTTTAAAAACACACACACTTCACCAAACAGTAGCACCTGTATTCTTAGAAACTTGTTATCTGTCTTTATATTCTCCAAGTGAAAAGTTAAAAAAAAAATCTTTTTTAAAATAACATAAAACTACAGAGTAAAAAAAAATATTTAAAAACCTATTTTATTATTACCTTCATTTGTGGACAAATAATACTCTCTATTCATTCAGTGACGGCTGCTGGGGTTGGTTAATTCCAGGAGGTGGGTAGATAGCCAGGCCTGGAACAAGATGCTGCTGCTCACGACCCAGCTCCCCCTCCAGCTCTGTGGTTGGGTGCAGGCATTGTGTCTCTAAGCAACCAGCGTTGTCTGTGAGACGGGTACTCGACCAACCTGGTGATTTTCAAACGTGGTTTTTAGCACTGGAAACTTTTCTGGATGCAAAATCTCAGACTTTTCCCCAGATACGTCTCAGCAGTCCCCTCTCCCTTATGATGGCCTGGAATCCCTTGGCCGTTTCCATCTATAACAGTGGTTCTCAACCTTGGCTGCACATTAGAATCACCTGGGAATCTTTAAAATCCTGATTTCTGGGCCTCATCCTCCGGAAATTCTGTTTCTTTGTTGTTTCCACAATATTAGTAACAAAAGCAACAGAATTTCTGGAGGATGAGGCCCAGAAATCAGGATTTTACAAAGATTCTAATGTGCAGCCAAGGTTGAGAACCACTGATCTATAATAATAAAAGGGTAATATGCTAAGTAGATCAGATGTCTTCCGAAGTCATTCAGGACGTCCTTCCTGACGAAGCCGGAGGGAAGCTAGCCCGGGTCCCGGGTCCCGGGTGCCTGCTGGCTGCCGGAGGAGGGAAGCCCGGGTCCCGGGTGCTGGAAAGAAGCTGGTGCCGGCAGCTGGGGGAAAGAAGGCATACTCTTGCACGAATTTTTGTGCATCGGGGCCTCTAGTTGAAGATAAGATTTCTGCTAGTACTAAAACTCCATGTGTCCATAAATGGGTCTGAGGAGAATTGGAAAACATGCTGAAATCAGGAATTCTGTGCCCGAGGAATGGGACCTAATGTTGCTCTGTGAATCTTTTCCCGTAGGTTTTTTTACTTGAAGAATAGGATAGGACTCAGGTCCCTAGACCAGTGGTTCTCGAACTTGAATGCACATCAGAATCACCTGGAGGGAGGTTCCACCTTTAGACTTTCTCATTCAGAGGGTCTGTGGGGCCCAAGAATTGCATTCGGACAGTTCCCAGGGGCTGATGCTTCTGTTGCTCCAGCGTGCCTGCTTTGAGTAGCACTGTGCTAGGGGATGATGGGAACCTTCCATCATTTTTTTCTCTTTTTATTTATTTTTATTGATTTCAGATAGAGGAAGGGAGAGGGAGTAGAGAATCATCCATCGGCTGCCTCCTGCACACCCCACGCGAGAGATTGAACCTGCAACCTGGGCATGTGCCCTGACGGGGAATTGAACTGTGACCTCCTGGTTCATAGGTCCACACTCAACCACTGGGCCGTGCTGGCCGGGCACACACCATTTCTTTCAATGTTCTTTTCTTCCCTTTCATATAGCAGATATTTTCCCAGCCCAAGATTGTGTAAGGTCCTGTGGCAGGGGCTGGGCATGGAGGAGGGAAAGGTAGCAAAGAACAGTGAGAGATGGTTCCCATCTTCTTGTGATACCGAAGGTAGAACTTTGCACCCCCTTCTGGTATCAGGAGAACAGCCCATTAATGCGCACAAAGAGAACATAAATTATGAATGTACATGAAGGTTATGGGCTGTTCAACCCAGGGCCTCACACATGGAACATTATTATAAATATCTGTTAGACAAACAAAAGTGATGTATTTAAATGAACAAAGACTATGAGGATGACTTTAGATCAGTGGTCGGCAAACTCATTAGTCAACAGAGCCAAATATCAACAGTACAACGATTCAAATTTCTTTTGAGAGCCAAATTTTTTAAACTTAAACTATATAGGTAGGTACATTGTTATTAACTTAATTAGGGTACTCCTAAGGCTTAGGAAGAGCCACACTCAAGGGGCCAAAGAGCCGCATGTGGCTCGCGAGCCACAGTTTGCCGACCATGGCTTTAGATGGACCCTTGTTCATCTTAGCTCAGGGGAAGTGGATGATACTGATTCTGGGTGAAAGGGGAAGGGAGCCAGTCTATTTTCTGCACAAGATGCTCCATATATGTTATTTCTTTCCTATAACCGCCCTGTGAGGTATTATCAGTATTTTATAGATGGGAAACTGAGGCTCAGGGAGTTTAAGAACTTGCCCACAAGGTGGCAACAAAAAAAAATCCAGCTGGTTAAGAGATGGAGCTGGAAGTCCACTCCATGTCCGTGTATGTTCAAGTTCTGTGTTCTTTCTTGGAGCAATGGTCCAGAAACTGGGATCTTAGGAAAAATGCAGGCTCCATGCCTGGTTTGGAGTTTCTGGAGGTGGGACCCAGGCATCTGTTTTTTTTTTGTTTTTTTTATTTCTTTATTGATTTCAGAGAGGAAGGGAGGAGAGAGAGATGGAAACATCAATGATGAGAGAGAATCATCGATCGGCTGCCTCCTGCACGCCCCCTACTGGGGACCAAGCCCGTAACCCAGGCATGTGCCCTTGGCCAGAATCGAACCCGGGACCCCTCAGTCCGCAGGCTGACGCTCTATCGACTGAGCCAAGTTGGCTAGGTGTTTTTAAAGCAAAATAGATCTCCCAGGTTTGGAAGCCACCAGGTGTAGATCATACCTTAGAAAGTTGAGTATGTGAGTGTGTGTATGTATGTGTTGTTGTTTGCCAAATGGGGTTGCAGATATTCTTGGAGAGCAGTTGTTTCTTTTCTTTTTAAAATTTATCTTTATTGTTGAAAGTATTACAGATGTCCCCTCCCCCTGCCTCCCCCCCCCGCCCCCCCCCCCCCGCCATTGACTCCTTCTAGCCCGCTCCCGCCCCTTGCCCAAGGTCTTCAACACCCTAGAAGAGCAGTCGATTTTTTATTTTTTTTTCTGTTCACATTTGCTCACCAATTTATAGCATCAAAGATCCTAAAATGATTTCATCCGATCCTGTTTACTGGTGTCTATATTTGTATGGCAGTTAGCGTGTCTTTGACGGTATGGGGCACAGGTCTCATTTCTTCCAGCTGCACATGGTTCTGGGTCTGTCGAAGTTTAGTTCAGTGAACAGTCATGGAGGGGCTGCTGTAGGGGCCACAGGGGACTGGGTGGGACTGCGTCCTCTGAGAAGTTACAGCTGCTGCTTAGCTCTAACTCAATTTTCATGCAGAAATGCGTGCTCAGCGTTGGCCAGATCTGATTTTTCAAGAGAAGCCAGAAATCTGGGTTTCTGTGAGAAATCTTTCAATTTTAAAAGAGTGGGCAACAGTTGTAAATCAAAGCACACACACAATTTTAAGAGTCAAACAGAACCCAACGAAAGGACTTAGTCCCTGATGCCAGTGGTCAATATCTGGGTCTCGCGTGAGAGGCTTCAGTGATAGCAGACGGTGTGATCTCAGTCTTTGTATGAAAATGCACTTTTAGCCCTGGCCGGGTAGCTCCGTTGGTTAGAGCACCATACCAATATGCCACAGTTGGGGGTTTGATCTCTGGTCCAGGCACATACAGGAATCAACTAATGAATGCATAAATAAGTGGAACAACAAATTGATGTTTCTGTCTCTGTCTCTCTCAAATCAATCAATAAAATAAAATAAAAATGCATGTTTATTCTAGACCAAATGTGAGGAGTACTGGCCTTCCAAGCAGGCCAAGGACTATGGGGACATAACTGTGGCAATGACATCCGAGATTGTTCTTCCAGAATGGACCATCAGAGACTTCATAGTGAAAAATGTAAGTAGGAGGTCAAGATGGCTAGGTCTCCCAGAAAATGACCGTATGTTAATTTTAGGGGTGATACTTCTTAGGTTAATATTAACCAATATTTTTTTATGCATTCAAAAAATGTTTTTGCTTTCTTCTTTACAGAATAAAACAATTCATATCTATACACACTCTAAGGCAACCCTGTAGCTTTACTTTCTTAAGGAGCATTTCATGTTATTCTTGAATAAAATGGACCTTAATGGCTCAGCATCCATAGCTCCTTTCTTTCCACTTCCTGCTGACTTGCCCATAGAGTTTTTGTTACAAACCAAGGCCCTTTTGCATTAGTTGGTAGAAACTGTGACATCAGGAACAGCCATTTCCTGTTGGACAGTTTCATTAATAGGATTCCTGAGCATGTACACATGGCTTCCCTGACCCCCCAAAATTGTGAAAACAAATCCAATAAATTGTGTAGGCACTTTAGGAAGTCAGCCTATGTGCCTTTTCTCTTTTGTTAAGGGTGTTTAAAAATAGAAGCAGTGTCAGGAAGTGACATTAGCTTCCGATGGGCATGCAAATGGGCATAATCCTTTGCGGTTTGTTATCAAGGGCATAAAAATGTCCATTTCCCTTTGGTCCGGTGGTTCCAAGTTTGAGAATCTATTCCAAAGAATCAATCTACAATATAGGAGAAGGCTTGTTATTCATAAAAATGAATCTCAGCATTATTCGTAATGGGAGCAGGGGTTTGGAAACGATGCAAATATCTAGCTTTTGGAGAATGGAGAACTAAACTATAGGTTATCTAGTCATTGTGTCATTATTCAGCTATTAGTAATGAAAGCCATGTAAACTGGATAATTGCCATGAACATAATTAAGTGAACATGCTAGGAGACAAAATTTTATGCGCATTATGAATAATACATAAAAGGAAAGCCCGGAAGTGGACTCATTGGTGTTGAATTTTATGGGGTGGGGGTTGGTGAGTTAGGTACTAATGTACGAGAATTATCCTTGAAGATTTCCATAAGTCGTGGATGCAGTGTGTCATATTAAGTATTAACTCTTTACTAATTGCTGTGTCTCAAAGGCTCTGGCCTTAGCTAATATTTTAATTCCTTTTGGGGACATGCTGTCCAAACTCATCTTGCACTTGTGTTGGCTGCATAAATAATGCAATTTATAATAGTGGAGAATTCTTTAAAATGTCACACATATTTCTATAGATTTCACCCATTGAAAATGAACTGGCTTATCCTTGGTTGCTTTTACTGCTTGGGGTTCACCCTTGTGGAAGAGAATTGTGGGTAGAATTGTCCACGTCATTTAAAAATTACTGTTACTATTAATATTATTTTTATTAACTAAACTTCAGATTTTATTCAGATTTAACATTTTTCTACTAAAGCCCTTTCCTGTTCCTGGACCCAATCTAGGATACCATATAGCATTTAGTAAAATATTTACTTTTTAATCACAGAAAATGCACATGTATATTTTCATTTTTAGAAGTGGAAACATAACAGGTAGAGTGAAAAGTTTATTTTGACTGTCACCCCTCACCTGGGCTCCTTTGCCTCCCTGTAGAAATCATACTGACAAGTCCGACCTTCCCTCTTCCCTTCTCTCCTCTTGCCTGTCAAGGCTGGCTTTCTTTGGGTGAATAAGTTTGTGAATGTTACATTTGTGTGTGATGGGGCTTCACAGAACTCTCTCCTGTTTCTGCCTTGTTTTCCACATTTTGAGGAATGTGAATGCACTGTGTTTATAACGTATATGCATTTTTAAAAAAGCCTCAAAGGGTAGCTGTCATAAAGGAGACGGCAATGCCTGCAGTCCAGATGTAGGCATGCACGGTGCAGTCCAGATGTGGACACACACAGGTGCGGGCAGTGCCTGGCTGTGGGCCTAACGAGGACGGTTGAGTCAGGGACAGGAATGGCCCAGCCTGGGTGGAGTTCTGATCAGCAATGTCCATGCCCCCATCCTGGTAGGAAACCGTCTGTGTAATAACTAACTGGTAACAGGGTTCACTTTCTATTGTCTGTCTGCTGTTGACATAGATGTTTTTTGGGGGCGAGGAGGTCCTTTCTCAAATGCCTACAATTCTAAATATTTCCTTGGTGCTTGCTATTTGCCTACCGTGTTATTAAATTCTCCGGAAGATGTGACTTACGAGGCAGTTCTTGCCCTGAGGGCACCGAGTGTCTCAGCTGGATTCGATACATTTATTTTAGGTCAGTGACATTCCCAGGTGGGCTCAGGGATGGGGCTTATGAAGCTCTAAGGAGTGGTAGGTGTGAATGTGAGCACTCTATAGGCAGGAAGCTGTGGTGGGAAAGGGAAAAGGTCTGAACCCAAATGCAGAGGGTGAGGGACTGCTACCACCTATGCCGAGTGTTGGGGACATCACTTTACTTCTTGGAACTTTTGCTCCCTTGTCTTTAAAGGTGGAATAATAAACCCTCCGGCTTGGGTATGTTATGAGGAATTGATGAGTATACTGAAGTTTGTGTAAGCACATTATTAGCTGTTGCACCAAAATAAAATTCTAATTTCTAGTTGTAACCACTCCTGGTTAAAGCCACCTTTCAGCATTTGGTGCAGCTCAGCATTCAGGTACTGCTTCATTTCACAGCCTTTCTGATGTTGCAAGGCAGCTTTTCTCTCAGGCTCTACCCTCTAGTTTCTTCTTCTTCTTTTTTTTTTTTTTTAAATATGTTTTTATTGATTTTTGGAGAGAGAGGAAGGGAGAAATAAACATCGAGGTGAGAGAGAAACACTCATTGACTGCCTCCCATACATGCCCTGTCTGAGAACTGAACCTGCAACTTGGGCATGTGCCCTGACCAGGAATCGAACCGGGACCCCTTGGTACACGGGGCAACACTCAAGCAACTGAACCACACTGGCCAGCGCTAACCTCTCGTTTCTTTTCTTGGCTTTTAGAAGCAGACAAGTGACAGTCACCCTCTGCGACAATTCCACTTCACGTCCTGGCCTGACCATGGGGTTCCCGACACCACTGACCTGCTCATCAACTTCCGGTATCTTGTCCGTGACTACATGAAGCAGAGTCCTCCCGAATCGCCAATTCTGGTGCATTGCAGGTAGGCAGGGGGCGCGTCACCTGAGACAGATTTCCAAGGCAATTCTAAGTACGGACACTTTTGAAAAGCAAGGTCTAGATTGAACGCAGTAGGCATTTCAATTTACAGATTCAGGAAAGGTTTAGATTCGGGGCCACAACTTAGTCCCCAAATCCTGGGACAGGGAATGGCAAACTATATAGCTTGTGGGCCAGATCTGGTAGGTTGTCTGTATTTTTTAAAAACTAGAATGTATTTTAACGTATTTCATATTTACAATATTTTCTTCTAAAACATTTCAATCTTACAAAAATATAGAGGAGAATACCAGTTTATAAAGCATGCCATGAGACCATATGTGTTTCTTTTTGTTAATAATACATTCTAGATATAAAGTCTCCACCTACCAGTCTCTTATCCCATTCTCCTTATGCAGGTGAATGTAGTCCTAAGGTCATGTGCATTAGTCCCTTGCGTGCTCCCATGTTTTATTGCATATGTACATATCTCTCTGGTTTCATACAGCTTTAAACTTTTACCAGGTTTTGTTGTGCATACATCATTCTGCAACCTGCTTTCTTCATTCAGCATGTTGGTTTGTTATTTAACAATATTGGAACACATAATTCCAGTTTGTTTTATTTATTCACTTAAAATATTTTTTTGACATATAAAAAACTGCACGTAACTTAATATAGACAACCTGATAAGTTTGGGGATACGCATATATACCCATGGCACTAGCACCACAATCTATTTTGCTGCCTATTTTTGTGAAGTTGTCCTGGGCCACAGCCATGCTCACTTGTTTGCATATTGTCTGCAGTTACTTTCATGCCACAATGGCAGAAAGAGGCCACTGGCTTGCAAAGCTGAGGATATTTACTGTCTGGCCCTTTGCAGAAGTTTGCCACCCCCTCCTCTAGAACAATGACATGAGCTTTAAAGCGAACGGATGAATTTAAGACAGAAGAAAGGAGGGGGCTGTGTTGCCCTCTGGGGAATAAATTGATGAGACTTGCCATCCTAGCTTATGGTGGCAACTTGACTGGGCCTGAGATCCAAGAAGCTCTAGCAAGGTGGTTTAAAAAAAAAATTTTTATTGATTTTTTACAGAGAGGAATAGAGAGCTAGAAACATAGATGAGAGAGAAACATCGATCAGCTAGCTGCCTCCTACAAACCCCCCACTGGGGATGTGCCCGCAACCAAGGCACATGCCCTTGACCGGAATCGAACCTGGGACCCTTGAGTCCGCAGGCCGATGCTCTATCCACTGAGCCAAACCAGTCAGGGCAAGGTGGTTTTTTTTTTTTTTTTGTTTTTTGTTTTTTTTTTAAAGAGAAAGGGAGAGGGAGAAAGGGAGAGGGAGAGAGAGATAGAAACATCAATAATGAGAAAGAATCATTGATCGGCTGCCTTCTGCACACCCCACACTGGGAGTCAAGCCTGCAACCCAGGCATGTGCCCTGATTGGGAATCAAATCGTCATCTCCTGGTTCATAGGTCGATGCTCAACCACGGAGCCACACCAGCTGGGCTAGCCAGGTGTTTTATATGTGGCATTTGACTCCAAAGGAACTTGAGGATTTGGGCCGCAGTCCCACGCTAGTGCATCCTGATGTGCTGAGGTTTCAGTTGAGCAAACATTTAATGATGCTGGGCTCTGCCCTCGCAGCCTGGTAATGGAGGAGAGCACACACCTGCACAGGGAGGGGAAGCTGTCCAGCAGAGGTCACCCATGGAGACCTGCTTGTTCCCCTTCCCTTCTAGCGCGGGCGTTGGAAGGACGGGCACTTTCATTGCCATCGATCGTCTCATCTACCAGATAGAGAATGAGTACTCCGTGGACGTGTACGGGATTGTGTATGACCTTCGCATGCACAGGCCTCTAATGGTGCAAACAGAGGTGAGGCCAGCATCTGTTGGACAACCCACCCTTCCTGTCTGTTCATGTTACACACTCGTGTTACACTGTTTCACCCTTCCAGATCCTTCTGGCTCCTGGCCGTGATCTAACACTCGATTTCTTTAAGATCCTTAAGTGACATGGGCTTGGACTACCCGATACAGTGACCCATGGTACCGATATCAGTGATGGCGCTACAACCCTAGACAGGATCCTTACCCACTGCCACCGACTCACCCAGTAATCTCAGCAGGTCCCTGAACTTTGGCTTCCGGATTTAACACTCATAAAATTGGCCTTTTCGCTCTTGGTTTCTTCTTTTTAAAAAAAATATGTTTTTATTGATTTCAGAGAAAGAGAGAGAGAGGGATAGAGAGATAGAAACATCAATGACGAGAGCGAATCATTGATCGGCTGCCTCCTGCACGCTCCCTACTGGGGATTGGGCCTGCCACCTGGGCATGTGCCCTTGACCGGAATCGAACCGTGACCTCCTGGTTCATAGGTTGATGCTCAACCACTGAGCCGTACCAGCTGGGCTCACTCTTTGTTTCTAAGAAGCTCTGGCCATACTTAAAGTAAACTAGTGAAACAGACTTATCAGATATTAATAATGTGAAATAGCGTAATGCGGCTTTAAGCGTGAATATAGCCATGTGTCCCAGCCTTGTGCCGGTTAACGAACAGCAGGTCCGTAGCTGTGGGAGGATGGTGGGCAACTGAGAAAGGGATGCTTGGTAGCCACGGTGCCGCTGTGTAGCACTGGTAGGCTGGCTGTCCCTGACATGTTCCCCGCAAGCCGTTCCTAGGCATGTTCTCAACACATATATTGGGAAGTGGCCCTTCTCGAAGCTGCAGGGTGAATGTGCCTTGACCAGGATGAGAGCAGCATGTTCATTTTGTATCAGGCTGTCGCTGTGAATATGTGCCCTGTTTCTGAGTCCAGCAGGCAATGTTCTAGATTTTCTTTCTTTTTTTTTTTTTTTTTGCTATAATTATGTAGAGTAGCGGTTCTCTATCTTTTTTCCTTCTTTGAGAGAAACAGAAATCTTAGACCTGCTTACAAATGATTTTCATGTCCCTTTTTAAATTTTGAAAATAATGTTAACTGTCGATACTAAAAGATCTGACAAAATACAAGGTATATTTTTCTCTTTTACTTTTTTCTTCCCCACTCACACTCCCTGGAAGTAGCCAATGTTTACAACTTGTGTGTATCTTCATAGGCTTCTTGATGTACAGCTGCAGAAAAACACATGCATACACACACACACACACACACACACACACGACATGGAGTATTTTTTAAAAATGAAACCCTATTTTATTTATTTTTAAAATATATTTTATTGATTTTTTACAGAGAGGTAGGGAGAGAGATAGAGAGTTAGAAATATTGATGAGAGAGAAACATCGATCAGCTGCCTCCTGCACATCTCCTACTGGGGATGTGCCCGCAACCCAGGTACATGCCCTTGACTGGAATCGAACCTGGGACCTTTCAGTCCGCAGGCCGACGCTCTATCCATTGAGCCAAACCGGTTTTGGCGAAAACCCTATTTTATATATGCTACTGCCCTGCAATTTATTTCCTCTTACAGCATCATGGATATTTTTCTGTGTTGGCCTCTTCTTCCTCTTTTAATGGATACTACCGATCTGATATGCTGCCTACAGGTGGTCCCCACCCAACTCTACCCCGATCATCCCCCTTAACCCCACCTCCTCTGTTGAGAGTCACAGTTTATTCCTTATTCTGCACATCCTTGCTAGCCAAGAAAATCTTTTAGAGTTTTTTATGATGTGAATGTACGTGTGCATTACCACCTCCACATCCTTCCGCTGCCCTTCCCCACGATTCCGGTATTTCTCCTTGGATGTGACACCGACACATGGCGATGAGAAGTTGGGGCTGCCAGGGGCTGTGGGTGGAGGCACATTCCTGGTTGCCGGTGGGATAAGTTCACTTCTCGTTCCTTGATAAGTATGGAAAACCAGAAAAAGTGAGCATGTTTTTTTTTTTTTTTTCTTTTTCAAATCAGATTTTTTTTTAAAAAAAGACTGTTTTATATGATCCACGCGCGAAAGCCAGGATCGTGTTGGGTTGGATATATTTTAAGGGTCAGAGGTCTGTTTTACCTACTGAATCTTGGAATCTTGCTGAGGGGAGGTCTGGGGAGTCTGCCCCTCTGGCTGAGACTCACTGATGGTGAGGTTCTTGCTCTCTAGAAAGTGATTACCCCTGGACGCGTTAACCTGAAGTGTCTGCTGTGGGGCGGGTGGGGTTGGGGAGCGGGAATCAGTTTGCAAATAAGGGCGGGTGCTAATCTCCGGCACCGGTGCTCACGTGCTTCCTTCTTTCCCCGTGTCTAACAGGACCAGTATGTTTTCCTCAATCAGTGTGTTTTGGATATCATCCGGTCCCACAGGGACTCGAAAGTGGATCTCATCTACCAGAACACAACCGCAATGACAATCTACGAAAACCTCGCCCCCGTGACCACGTTTGGACAAACCAATGGTTACATCGCCTGATTCCAAAGGAAAATCTCTCTGGAGTTAAGGAGGCCACCACACCCACAGCAAAGGAAGAAGCCCCGATGTGGACATGCGTTTAGATGTCTAATATCTTAATTCTTTGTTCTGTTTTGTTAGAACTAATTGAGGGTGTGAAGCTGCCCACGTAACACAGGAGAGATGAGAAGTTGGGGCTGTTGGGGGCTGTGGATGGGTGGTGAGCCAATCAGCTGCATTCCTGGGCCCCGGTGGGAGGAGTTCACTCTTTTCCCTTGAGAATGATGGAAAACCAGGAAAAGTGAGCTACGATTCTTTTTTTTCTTTTTCAAAACAGATTTTTTTTTTAAACAAAACAAAACTATTTTATATGATCCACATGGGAAAGCCAGGATCGTGTTGGGTTGAATATATTTTAAGTATCAGAGGTCTATTTTTACCTACTGAATCTTGGAATCTCGCTGATGGAAGATGCATAACTGTGGACGATGATCGTGCAGGGAGGGGCAGGCGGCGCCTCTCCTGCCCGGGTTTTCTATTTGAACATGTGCCTTTTCTGAATTATGCTTCCACAGGCAGAACTCAGAAGATTTCTCTATTTTTGTATCGAATCTCATAATTGGACTCTGCAGAATATTTAAACGGTAGTTTAGTATCAGAGGCTCAGCCTTCTCAGTAACATTCCTAATCTTGATGAGAGGAGGCCCCTCCCCCACTACCCCCCCCCCCCCCCGTTTCGGGGTCTATTCTTTCTTCCCCTTCCCCCCCAGTTCCCCACAGATGTGTGTATTCAGCCCACTGGTTGAATGAGAGTGGAATTTTTTTTTGGCGGTGGCGGGGGGGGGTGTGGGTAGGAAAGCAAAGGAAACCTACAGTGATGGACTACCCTTTTCTAGTCCCTGTTTTTTCCTTTTTTTCTCATTTCGTATTTGGTAAGAAGGATTATTTAAAGGTGCAATATGTGACTAGTGATTCCTGATGCTCTAGGTTCTTAGCAACGTTTTACTCAGGTTGGCATTTTATGTGTCTGTGTGTGTGTGTGTGTGTGTGTGTGTGTGTAAATGCGTGGCAATCTGTGAACACTTCAGTGTGAAAACAGTGTCAAAGTAATTCCTCCTCCTTCGAAGTCCACTGGCTTTAGTCTGTCTGCGGTGACACATATTGATATCTACTGTATATATATAGATACTAAACTCTCAAAAACAGTCATTCCTTTGAATTGAGGTGTACAAAGTTGGAATTTGTATCGAGATGTAATTATTATTTTTAAAACCTCTTTTCACTATACTGCTGCTGTAATTACTTTGATTTTAAAAAAATGTAGATTAACTTTTTTTTTTTTCCTTCAGGTGTGTATCCACCAAGAATTTCAGAATTTATGTGGGTTAATTTTATTGGTACATAATCTGTAAACTTCTCAAGGCATTAACATGAAAGGATTTGTTTCTTTTTATTTTATATTGTGGCTCAGGTTCTATTGTGAAGAAGTTTTGAGTGTAGCCTCCAATCGGCAACGAAGTACAAGGTCTTATGAAGGAATGTCCAACCCCCGAAAGCCCGTGGCCCTTGGCCACAGCCATGAATCCTGCTGTAAATTAGGATGAATGTGTCCTATTGAAGATGGGGGCGGGGTCCTCTCCGAGCGCCCTGCTCCCTGTGGACCCGTGGGAGCCCTTCTCCTGACCCTGCCTCGCTCCTCAGCTCACCGGCACTTTGATAACGGAACTGGACGTGTGACTGGGTGTTTGGGGTTAGGAAGGGTGAACCACGACGTACTGATACCCTTGATTCAGTTCAGAGGTCCGTGCTGTACGTCTGTTGTCCCCTGTCCCTTTGAGGTACCGAAAGAATGAAAAGGAGAGGCGGTGATGTCTCGTTTTGGGAGGACCTTACTTCCCAAACAGAAATTGCACTTTTTGCTGAATCCTTTGCTGTCTTTGGTAGTAAGCAGTTCATTCAATGTCAGACCCTTCGAGGAAGGGGTTGGCCTGGCCAGGTCAGGCCCTCTGGACCCCACTTCGGAGAGGCCTTTGGCTGTGTAGGTCTGAATCAAGGAAGCCACACCCTTGTGGGGTGTGGGGTGCAGCCGGGTTTGGGCCGATTGCTTCCAGACCTTCACACTGGTCTGGCCCCCAATGCATGCAGAGCTCAGAGTTCCATAGCTTCAATCAGAGGTCCTGGTTGAGGCAGCAGCTTTGTGGTCACACCCCTCCCCCCTCCAATTTGTCAGGGAACCATTGTGATGGGTCTCATCTGGGTGTCACATCCCATGGAGATGCTGTGGGCCGCCCTGCCCCTCTCACTGCCATGGAGACGTCCGAGGAAAGTGCTTGCCTCTAAAAATCCCTTTAAAATGAATGAAAGCAACAATAATTATCATCATATTGTATAGAAACTAAAAAAACAGAAACCCTTCTCCCTTCCACCTGGTGTGGGCTTGGGAACTGGCAGCAGCCGCACGTGCCTCTCCCGCTTGTCATGCCCAGTCCCAGAGGAAGGCCTGTGCTGGGGAGGTCTGGATTCCACGTGGCAGGTCACACGGAGGTCACCATGCCTCTCTGCATCCTCAAGACGCTGTGGACGGGCCAGTGGGGCGGTGAGAGGATTTATAGCACAGGGATGGCAAAGGGAAGATTCCTGTGTAGCTATGAAGGACGTGGGGCTGGGGAGATGGTCATGGAAAGAGGAAGGTGCTTTTGAGCTCCTGCCCCAAACCCTCCCAGGAACAAATAACTAGAATTGGAGGGACCGTGGAGAGGGTGGGATTGCCCTTCGTTCGTAGTTGAGTTACATACAGAAAGGCAGCCAGGGTGGGGTGAGTGGTCCTTGGTTTGGGGGATTTGGGTCATTGGATCTCTTCTCCAAGCGAAGACGTTTTGCCTCCAAAGGTAAATCGAGTGACGATCGGCACCAGGAGGCACTGACATCTGGGGTGTGTTCTCTGTGAGCATGCAGTGACAGCTAGATGTGGCCCATTGGCTCCCTTGGATTTGGGCTTCATCAGTTAGAGGCACCGGGATGGGAGTGGGGGTGGGGGGACCCGCTCTGCAGCTGATTCACGGTTGCTTTTCACGTGGATGAAAAAGCCTGGTTCGCTTTTGGAATGGTTGGTCGCGCTTACTGAGCGAAGCAAGACTTGGCGACTGATGTTGATTTGCCTCCGAAGTCCCAAGTTCTGCGTTTTCAGACTGTCCAGAGCAGCCGAGCGTTCAACATACTGTAGCTTTTTTTTTTTTTTTACCTCCCGTGGGGCACATAAGGGTAGGATGTGTTGATGTAGACTCTAAAACTGTAATTTTCTTGTAACTATTTTGGAATGATGCATATTTCTAAATGTTTGTTATACTTGTACAGAGTATTGCTGTGTTGCTTTTCTTTGTTTTTAAGGAAAAAATGGCCTGAAATTTTTTTTAAAGACTTACAAATACCAAATAAAAAAAAATCCCACC